TAGTATTAGTAGTAGTATTGCAAGACCAAATCAGATCTGTGCCAAAACTTCAGATGCCTTAATAGTATGCCATAGGCTCGGAGCATCCTGTTGCGTCTTTTTGTGCCATTTAATACTTGCACAACTTGTCTGTTAGCTTCAGTGGAGTAAGTGCTAGCTAAAACAAATACACATTTTATAAAGAAGGATAAAGTTTGCACAGTGTGGGAGGGCTTGGGGGGATGGAAGGACTACAGTATGATTGTGTCTTGCACAGGGGTTACATTCTGGGGATGATGCATATAAGCAAAAACACGTATACCGGTACCGGTACCACCCCTTTGGAACCCCCCCCCCAAACCATCCTTATCTTACAAGAAAGGCAGAGAACTTTTAAGCTCTCAAGATCTCACAGGGCCATCCAAGTTTCCATAAGATATTGTGAGAGCATCCCAGAGCCTGGTACCAGCAAGTCTGAGCACTTAAAAGCTCTTTCCACACTGGGAAAACCCAGTGCAGAAGGAGCTTTTAAGCTCTCCGCCTTGCGTGCAATTGATCTGCAAGATTTCAGACATTCACCTTTCAACTGAGTAAGGTTGAAATTGCTCGGGTTAGTTGTGCATAGGATGCGATTGTCAGTGCCTTCCTGCATAACTTCAATTGGACAACATTAGCAGAGAACAGCTATGGAACTTCCCCAGCCATGTTTTTTCCAGAAGATAGTGGACTCGTTACCTCCATCCTGCATCCTTGCTTGCATGACTGATGGTTAGTGATGATGGGAGTCATAGAAGAACAACATTTGGAGAGCATCATGTTGGTTACTCATTTGGGGTGAAGATCATCCCCACTGAGTGCCTTCTAGCAGCTTCAGCTGGTAGCCCAACGATGACCCTTTGTGGACAGGGATAATTTGGCCACAGTAATCTATGAATGCTCTCACAGCCTCAATACAGTGGTACCTCAGGTTACATACGCTTCAGGTTACATATGCTTCAGGTTACAGACTCCGCTAACCCAGAAATAGTACCTCGGGTTAAGAACTTTGCTTCAGGATGAGAACAGAAATTGTGCAGCAGCGGTGCAGCGGCAGCAGGAGGCCCCATTAGCTTAAGTTGTACCTCAGGTTAAGAACAGACCTCCAGAACGAATTAAGTTCTTAATCTGAGGTACCACTGTATTGGATTACTGCAATGCAATTTATGTGGAGCTTTCTTTTGGAGATGGCTTGCAAACTGCAGCTGGTGCAGAATGCAGCCACTTAACTGTTAAGAGGATCAAGGTGAGCCCATCTTAAAACACTGGTGTTGGCACAGCTTCATTGTCTTCCTATATGTTTCTGGGCCCAATTCAAAGTGCTGGTTTTCATCTATAAATACCTTTGTGGGAGTGCCTCTGGACCATTCAATCTTCATTTGAGGCCCTTCTCCTGTTTTCCCCTCTGAAGAAGGAAGGTTAGGAGGGTGGGTTCTTTTCTGTGGGTGTTTTTTGTATGGGTTATTGAAATGGTTTTATTGAACACATTGTTTTTGTTTTGTGGAATTCTTCTTGGTTCTTAATCTTTATAAGTTGTCTCTGTAGTAAGTGAGAAATAAGTCAAATAAATTACAATAATACAAAGCAGTAATTGTATTAAGCTGGCTGTGGGCGGTGAGAATTTTAGTCCAACCACATCTGGGGATTAGGTTGAAGAAAACACTGCTTTAAAGCATACCTCTTTTAACTAAGTGTGACATTTGTCATGCAGTTTAGTCCCATTGACACCAGTGGGACTTTTCTTCTTACTGCAACACCCCCCCTCCAATTCCAACCTGGGTTGTAGTGAGGACAAGGAATTAAAGTTCTGCCCTGGATTGTTTCTGTATTTAAACTTTAATGTATTAATGATACAAATTGCTTAATGCTTTATATCTCTTGTACACCACCTTGGGATGCCACATTAAAGGTGATCAAAAATGCCTAATTAAAATAAGAACCCCTCTCCATGGCTGTGGTGGCTGGGGCTGATGGGAATCACAGTCCAAAAAAGCATGCAGTTGGGAAGGCTGGATAATTAAAAGACAGCTGTGCAGAGCCAAATTATCTCACCAGTGTCAATGCCCTGCGTCTGCCATCACTATGTGTAGTTTAGGCCATAGATGCTTAGGTTGCTTGGATGTTAATTTCTGTCAACAAGTGTTGTTGATGGTGTAGTCCATGCTTCCTCAACCTCAGCCCTCCAGATGTTTTGAGACTACAGTTCCCATCATCCCTGACCACTAGTCCTGCTAGCTAGGGATCATGGGAGTTGTAGGACAAAAACATTTGAAGGGCCGAGTTTGAGGAAGCCTGGTGTAGTCACACTCTTCCCCCCACCTTTTGTAGATATGCCGTATATAATGGACCACATTGTGTTCTCCTGCTTTATGGAAAAACAAAGGAATATTGAAGCACTTCCTCTTTGGATAAGACGGCAAAACTTTTTCTTTCTTTCTTGGTGTTACAACGTTGTTTTCCTGTCTTGTTTAAAAGTGGTTGTGAAACTTTGTACAGGGGTGAGAGCTGACAAACCACATATGTTGATCGCTCAGCATTCCATGCCCCTAACACTTTAGACCACAAACAGCATTGGCAGATGCTGCAATAGCAGCATATATTTTCTCGAAGTACAGCACAACTTCATGCACACGTGTAATTAATGCCTGGAGCTTCAATAATATGGGAGATTGAGTGACAAAACATCAAATTATATTTTGTGTTAAATCTACGTATAAGAGTTTTTTCTTCAGCATCCAAAACACAAACATACCCATAAACCTAAATAGAATAGTGTTTTATGTACTCACAAACATGATAATCCATCATACATCTTTTTGTAAATATTGTATAAATGGATCACGATGTTTGTGTGTATAGTATAGCATCATTTGATATATATTAGGGTTTTGTGTTTGTGTTGTTTTGAGTTGAGCCACTTTAAATGAAATTGAGTATATATGACAGAGGGGAAAGTCGACTGAATTCAATTTCCTGTACTCCCTCTTTACTGTTAGGTGGAATTTAAAAACATTTCTGTTCACCCAGGTATTTGATTGCTGAAATATATTGTTCCTGACAACCTTGAAATTATTGACCTGTAAGGATATTTGATCGTTTCTGAATGTTTTCCGTTTTGCTGTATGCTGCACTTTGGTTCCTTTGGAAAGAAGGAATGTGATTGAAATTTAATTAATAAATAATTATTAAACAACACTTTTTTCCTAAAGGGTCCCCTTTGAAAAACATGCGGTCCCCTTGATTTGCATAAACTCTCTTGGATTGAAGATTTTACTGTCTTCAGATGGTTAACTCTTGTAGGTTCCTTTGCTCTTCCCGTCACATGAGCAGGCACACAAGCCAGCAAGCCTAGTTAACCACAGCTTCGTGTTACATTCAGTTTGAACCAGGGAACTATGGTTAATGAGAGCCAGTGTGGTGTAGTGGTTAAGAGCGGTAGTCTCGTAATCTGGGGAACCGGGTTCGCGTCTCCGCTCCTCCACCTGCAGCTGCTGGGTGACCTTGGGCCAGTCACACTTCTTTGAAGTCTCTCAGCCCCACTCACCTCACAGGGTATTTGTTGTGGGGGAGGAAGGGAAAGGAGAATGTGAGCCGCTTTGAGACTCCTGAAGGGGAGTGAAAGGCGGGATATCAAATCCAAACTCTTCTTCTTCTTCTTCTCCCAACATTTGCTTCCAAATCCTGGCTTGTTTGAAAGCTGTTAATCATAGCTATCAGTTTGGACATAAAAGGAAGCTATGATTAACTGTGACTTCCTGGCCTGTTTACCAGCTGGTGCTAAAGGAGGGGTAAAATGGGAGAAAAGGGATGCATGAGAGAGCATTAAGTTCCTGCATATCATAGCTTCTAAAGCAAAGATCATGATGTCTGAATGGGGCATGCCCAGTTAAATAATTGCTTATTGTTGCAATTTTTTTTATATCCTTTTAAAAATATCGAATTGCAGCACAGTTTTTCGTTTCTTTGGTTTTTGGCCTTTACATTTTCCTGATTTTATAGTTCAGGTCCCCACCTAATTGTTTGTTTGTGTTTGCAATGATTAACTGATTTAATTAAACTGGTCTCCACCCCAGCACTGAGGGCCTTCTGGTGGTTCACTCACTGCGAGAAGCCAAGTTACAGGGAACCAGGCAGAGGGCCTTCTCGGTATTGGCACCCGCCCTGTGGAACACCCTCCCATCAGATGTCAAGGAAATAAACAGCTGCCTGACTTTCAGAATACATCTGAAGGCAGCCCTGTTCAGGGAAGTTGTTAATGGCTGATGTTTTAATGTATTTTTAATATTTTGTTGGAAGCCACCCTGAGTAGCTGGGGAAACCCAGCCAGATGGGCAGGGTATGTATGTATGTATGTATGTATGTATGTATGTATGTATAAATAAAATCATTTATTCCTCCTTGTGTTACACTCTTTCCTGTAGCTTCCAACATGTAATCTTTAGCTAGGTACCCAGTAAATATCGACTAAAGAACATGCTGCTGTAGTTATACAGTTAAGGAACAGCTAAACTCATGACTGATGAGAAGTTTGCCAGAAGGCATAGCTGTTATCTGTATGAATGCTTCCAGTGTTCAAGTAATACATGCTGTTTGTTTCCTGGTTTTTCTCTGGTCTCCTGATTCATACTCTGCTTTAAAACATGACATTTACACCTAAGATATTATTATTTCTCATCCTGATAGGAGAAAATTGGAAGCTTCCAAACTTCACTTTAGGGCCGTATTGGGGTGGTCACGTGAGTTCAGGAGAAGGCTAGAATCATTCTCATAATACTAAACTGTGGTCTAGCATTGTATCTAAACCGACCCATAAGCTGCCAAAGTTTTGCAATAATACTGTGTGGAGCCCTGCCTTAAGTGCAACGCTGACTCCCCATAAATAAGCTTTCAGCAGCAAGTTATAGTTAAGGTAGCTTGAAAATAATAAGTTCATATTTGATAAAATGATGTATACTCATATTTTGCTTCTGTATTTGATTTTTCAGAAGAAGATAGCTTGGCCAATCAACAATGCAACTTTGCTGAGCCACTCTGATTTGGTGTCAGTTTATGCCACTGTGGTTTTGAACAAGATTGTTTTGTTTTTGGGAACAAGAAATGGACAGTTGCTGAAAGTACGTGGCTTATGGTTTGTTTCATGGTTTATCTGATGAATCATTGTTGTTGCATTAGCTGATAGAAGCTTCTTGGCATTTTGCATGTAAAAGTGCTAAATAGTTGCTATATTGGCAAATACAGTCCTACCTTGGTTTTTGAACAGCTTAGTTCTCGAAGTTTTTGACTCCTGAACATTGTAAACCCGAAAGTGACTGTTCCAGTTTGCAAACTATTTTTGGAAGCCGAACTTCCAATGGGGCTTCCACAGCTTCTGACTGGCTGCAGGAGCTTCCTGCAGCCAATCAGAAGCTGTGCTTTGGTTTTCCAACGTTTTGGAAGTTGAACGGACTTCCAGAACAGATTCTGTTCGACTTCCAAGGTACGACTGTAACTTCTCTTCTTGTATAATATTTGAAAGATGGTTCCTTTCCCCCCAAGTCCGATGGCTTTCTAAGTAATTAAACAATGCCTTCTCCTCAACAAAAATATATGTTGGCCTTTATTCAACATTTCGTTGGATCGGTTTTCAGTGAGATAACTTAAATAATGTAATTTCAAAATAAGTTTTTAGGTTCTTTAGTTTATCTAGTTTTTGAAAAGCTTTTATTGCTGTCATCTTACACTGTTTTATTGTATGTATTTATTGATTGCTTATTAGCCCAAATAGGGCTAATATAGCTATACAAAGCAGCTGAGGAATCAAACATGTGAGGAGAAATGGAGGCATGCAGTACCAGACATTCTGCTTCCAACACATTACCTGTACACAGTCTGGACCACTCCATGAGTTTGAGGATGAATGGGAAGCTCTTCTATTCATGGAGGCTGCCTGCATGGTTTTAAAACCCTGTGCAATCAACATTTTAAAACGGTATTTGTAAAGAATAGCTGACCAAATCGAAAACATACAAATCCTGATCATTAGTCACTGAATGTGCATTCAAAATAGGTCCTTGTATCTTTCTTGAGATAAAAGTGAAAGAACATGTTCTCTTTCCAGGTAAGAGTATTTGTTAGATTATCCATGCAGTTTGCTTCTTATCTGTTCATTTGAGGTTCTCCTTGCACAGTGGGACTTCTGCTTCCACCTCCTCCACCCAAACATGTCGTCCCCCCCAAAAAAATCTGTTCCAAATAGCTGATGATGGGGAGGAATAGAGGAACCATAGTGTATTCAAATAGGGCAGATAAATTTGCCCATGATAACATGATAGTGGTTCTTTTTGTTTCCTGTGCTTTTAGGTTATTCTTGATGAAAACATGAAAGCAAATTGCCCAGACATTTTATATGAAATTGAAGAAGAAACACCAGTTTTTCACAAACTTGAACTTGACCCTGTGAATAAAGATTACATCTATCTACCATCTGGTAACAAGGTGAGCTAAGAGCAGCAGTCAGCACAAATAGTACTTCTGAAGTTGGCTTTCAGTCATCTGGCAAAGTCCTTGTTAACTGAAGTCCAGCAACCTACTTTACTTTTGGGTTGTAGAACAGGACCCTGAATATGAGTAGGTGTGATTTCTAGTCAACAGAGATTCTAAACTATGCAACTGACTTGATTAGTTCTGTGTAACTTTAGAGATTAGCTATCACATCATTTTCTTAGTGTTCGCAGTTGCGTAACTGACTTACATTGTCTTACGTGAGTGCAGAGATTTTTCAGAACTTAGTTGATGGAAACAAGAGAAAACTTGTTGATGGCATCAAAGTGCACACCTTCATATGATCTCTCTCAGCATCTCTCATTTATCCATTGAATTCAGGAAGCACCAGTAAGCCTTTGTGAGGAATGTTTGGATGGATGGATGAGTAATCACCACACATGAGATTTCCTTCTTACAAGAGAACTCCTTTCAGTCTCTGTTCAGATTAGGCATTAATGCATACATGGCTCACTCTTGCATGTGCTTGTTCGGGCACTTTTATCCACACAGGTACTTTCAATCTTACGGCTCCGAAAACCATCTCCTTTCTTGTGCACATTAGTGGGTGGTACTCAATAGGATGCATGTAGGTGTACTATGTAGTGTTGTCTCCTTCCCTCAAATATTATTTCTTCCCTGAGGTCCATTGTGGATATGTGTGAAGTTATTTGCTTGCCTGTGTATGCACTTTTTTTTTTAAAAAAAAGTACAAATCTGGAATATAAGTTTTTTCAGAATTGTGCAAAAGTACAGAATTGTACTTTTCAAAAGTAAAGCCAGATAAGATTAGGAATCATTCATATGAAAGACTCCTACTTCCTGTCCTACCTTTTCCTTTGCCATCTACGTGCAAGGGCAATTTATATATTTTAACATAGCTGCTCTGTGAAAAACAGCTGGGTTAAAAATAAAAATGCCATGAACATGTCTTTGGGACTGATGGAAAGAAAATGGAAGAAGTAAACGCGGCAATAGAAACCATCTAGTGAAATGTCATCACATGTTAAAAGCAATGACGCATCCCACATGATAAGCTTCAGAGGATCCACATTTTTGTATTGCATTTTCTTCTCCTATTGGATTATCCACAGATTGGCAAATATTATGTCGCCACCAGCTGTCTCCTCATAGTCAAGAAGAGTGATTGGTTGTAGAGAAGGTTTCTTCATGAGCAAAGGACTACTCAGGTGTAGCACCCTCCTCCGGAGAAGGATTCTGCAGAGATGTCTTGAGAGGCTGCAGCTGTGCCTAGGGTGGGATTCTGGTGCCTCTGGTTTAAGAGCCTCAGTGCAAGGCTGAGAGAACTGCTGGAACAATGGCTTGCTAACTAACAGTGTTTCTTGCACCTGATCCTGACCGTCTGCTTACCTGGACCTTGGATTGCCCCTCAACTCTGTTAAAATCACTGCTTGCCTGGAATTGGACCTTGGATTGGCTCTGGAATTTGCAGCTCTGGGTCTGCAATAGCCATAGTTATCTGGAAGGCTACTTGCAGCCTGGGACCCAGCTAGAACAAGACAGAAAATAAACTTAATTTAGCAAGGGGAGGTGCAGGCTGCCACTTGGACGAGGAGGACGCTGTATGTACACTGCACAAGTGAGAGACAGAGAGAAGCAGCTTCAAATCCACATTAAACTCCAGAGTGGAAGAGCCCGCAATGGCACTGCCAAGAACACACTTTAGCATCAAAGACTTGCAGCAGGATTTAATAGGATTAATAGTGGAGTGCAGTTGCCCGTAGCAATCTCCAGCCAGGCAGAAATGGTTATGAGAGACCACACTCCTTCCAGACCAAAAACCACGTTAACAGGTGTGCAGAAAGTCGGTGGTTTTAAAGTGCTGAAGGGCAACCACACATTCAGCAGCCTTTCCTAGAAACTGAAGTTTAGAGGCAAAGGCTGTAACAGGCAGGGAATCTGCATGCAAATTATTTTTGAAGTCATATGCCACCCTGTTGGCTCTGAATTTAAGTACAAGTGAGCACAGCTGGCAAAGGTCTTGTCACAGGTCCAGTTTGCAAATGATCTCTTCCTATACACCCCCAAATTAGCAAAGTGGTGTGATGGATCCATAGAAGGTTAACTTGAAGTGACATGAACAGCAGAAGGTTGTTGCAATATTGTAAGAAACTACTTTGAATTCCTTTTTTTCTTTAAGTTACTGATTTGCTTTTCTTTCTATTTCCTGGGTTTATGGAAATTATTTTACGTTTTTGAAAATGTTTACTAGAAACATGCAAGAGTGATTTTTTCTCCCGTTCTATTTTAGATCTGGAGAACAAAGGTTGCCAATTGTAGCAAGTATATTTCCTGTAAAGAATGTTTAACTGCCATGGACCCCCACTGTGGATGGTGTTATTCATATAACAAGTATGTGTTTTTGCTTCTTAGGCTCGTATGAATAAATGCTTCATTATTGGTATTTTTTCATTCTTGATACCTTGAGGCTGTATCCACAGTTGTTTTTACAAAGCCATCTTGGATCAGTTTTAAGTCTGCAGTGACTCTTCCTATAACGACACTTACTAATAATATTAATGTAAAGGCAACTCAGGCTTCTCTCTTAACCTTCCCGGGATGTTTGTGTTAGTATTCTAACTGGGCTAAGACAGAATCCTGGTGCCAAATAACTTTGAAATTCTAAAACAACAAGAAGACCATAACAATTATTTATTTGCTTTAAAATTATCTTTTTATAAAGTTTGAGCAAAAAAGAGTGATAAGACACAATAGTGACAAGCCAGTAGCCAAGCAGTAAATAAGAAATTAGTGTTTTAGCAATTAAAGCTAGCATGCAGTAAGACTCTTCTTAAAAGGACATCTATAATTGTGGTTATAATTATAGTTAGCAGGAAGGAGTTAATTTGGATAGTTGCGTTAAACTCGCATACCCTATTTTTAATTTGAAATTTGAGAAAGACCGTAATGATATATTCTCATAAGATTGAAAAAGTCAGAGTGGTCCCAAGGAAAATAATGTAAATAAATGTTCTTTAACACCGACTCTCCAAAACTCATATCTACTCTTGGATATGTGGCTTCGAGGGACAATGGCATCACAAGCCATGAGAAAGAATCAATGGGTGTGACTGGTTTTTTATGGTTTTAAAGACAGAAATGAAGCAACAATAAAGTGAGAAAATCTGATTAGGTTAATCAGTTCTATCTCCCAGAAATTTGCATAGTTAGCCCACAGGGTGGAACAAATTGATTGAAAGGAAATGATGGAATAGATGTTCATTGTTTGATGTATCTTTTTTAAAGCTAAATATCTGGAACATGATTTCTCAGCCTATTAAGAGCTGAGAAGGCACTTTAGAAATGTCCAGTCAAGGTGGCCACAGTTTGGCTAGGAGATACAAATAATGCAGATTTTTATATATAATTGAAAAACATTTCTCTATTTCTCTCATGCATATATTTGGATTTTTCTTCAGCTGCACTTTAAAAGGTGAATGCCCAGTTTCAAATAACATAATGAACTGGACAAGCATTCCATATGGAACAGATAAATGCCTGAAAATCTACACATCTAAGCATTACAGAGGTGAGGTATGTTAAACATCATTTTCATTTCATTTATAGTATAACTGCACTACTTAATACATCGTTTTTACAAATGAGAGAATTTAACTTGGCAGTGCTGAGCTCTCTCAGTACTCTGGTCTGACTGAAACATAATAGTCCAATCCTATGCTGCTTATACCTTTCTCCTGGTGTAACAATGGGGTTCTTTGTGGGCAAACCTGGGTAAATAAAGCCCTATTTATTTTTATGTACACAAAAGCATGTATCTGGCCCAGGCTTCCATGTTTGACATTCTCTGCAAACCATCTCTATATACAAGCAGTTCATCTTACTTAATGAATCCAATGTATTTGGCATACTGGCAGAATCCCAGCCTCCCATACTTGCAGATCACACTGTGTCAGTTTACATGCACCCAGCAGGATTGGGACCCCTAACCGAACTTCCTTGGGTGGCTGCAGTTGTTCCATGCCTTGCACAAAAGGAAAGGCCAAGCTGTGAAGGTGCAGGTGACGCCTTGTTAGAGCAATGGTGATGTCTTCTGATGCTCCCCTCTTTCTGCTTGGAATGGTTTTAGATCATGTTGCTATAATGTGAAGAGGTTAATGGTTCCCTCATGCTGGATATGGATTCCTGTAACCATGCTCTACCTCTGAGGGGTGGCACTGATGTGGAAAGAATACATACTTTAAAACAAGTTTTGTTAATCTCTTGAAGTTCTCTCACATGTCTGGGTGGACAGTCTGCCTGAATCATTGATCGCTGCAGTGTGTAGGGAAAGTAGAGAGAAGCCAGGTTCACCCAGTGGGACAAAAAAGAAACACACGCTATTCTGGCTTCTGTTGGTAGTATTATTCTCCCATAACGTTGGCTCTTCAGCATCCTTGTGGGTGACAAAGTGAGAGCCAGCCTTGAGCATGATGCTGTTTTCCCTCCTGCCTCTGAAACTATTTCTCTCTTCTCTTTCTGTTGTTAGTCATCATTTAGACATACTGATATAGTTTATGGTTAATGCAAACCAGGAATCTTCCTGACCATATATTGCAGCTAAGGTTTGAAGCAGATTTACAAACACTGGTTGGTATGAATTCTGGTTTGCATAAAACATGGTCTACATGTGTAACAAAGCATCATCATTCTAGGGAGAGAAGGAAGTGGGAAAATTGTTCTGTATAAATCTCATGGCTTCCCAGTAGGAATCATTGGGTGCGGTGAATGGAGTTGTGCAGATTGCAGCAGCTCCTGCTATTCAGCCAATTAAAAGTTGACGGTATATTTTCAATTGTTTCTTGCCATTCACTTTTTATCTAATCTTTAAGTAGCTTAGCAACATTTACCCTGAGAGTTTAACTCTGATTCTCTTGGAAGTTCCTCCAGACTATCATCTAAGAGGTTAAGAAATCTTATCAATTTTCTCATTCCTTTAGATTTCTGTAACTGCAGTTGGAAATTCTGAAGGGCCATTCACTTGCAAAGTTATAGATGTGAATACCAAAAAAATTCTTTGTGAGAATGTGAAGGAAGACGTCATGAACTGCTCTTGTCATCTTAAGGCGGCTGATCTAGTTGGAAAGGGCAAGTTTTCTTCATATTTACCTACAACACCTGGCATGTTTTGTTGTATGGAATCTGTGAGGATATATGTGGCCTGATTTTTCATTACTGTGATTGGGCGGAGGGAGGATAAAGCCACGTTGGTTCTGAAAGAGGAAGCTTTGAAAGTGTGTTATGGATTGCTGTGGTTGGATGTTGGAGAAAGGAAGAGAGGTTGGCTGTTGTTTGTGGTTAGTGTAAGCCTGGCTACTATTTTATCATGTCACACTCGTCAGTCTTTTCTTGCGTGTGCAAGATTGGGGAAGATGGTCTTAATTGTCTGGCACCAAGATGAAGGCCACTTCCTGAAAACAGCCCTGAATCCCAAATCTTGTGTTGACAAGATTAGAGCATTTGTGTGTACGCATTCAACTATTTAAACTACATTAGGAAAAAGTTGCTATAGAAGACTGAAGACTAATTGTCATGCAAGAGAAACGTGACTCATGTTATCAGCTCTTTGGAAACTCCACTGAAAAGAGCAGCATAAACAGAATAAATAATTAAGTAATACAATTATCTGTGGCATAACCTCTTCATTTATGTGGGCTCTATGCATGGGTATCTGCAGGAAGGTAAAGGGGATAGCCTGTTCACCCAATGAGCCTTAATCGACATATTCCTGGCTTTCATTTTTAAAAAGTAAAAACGTAGTAAGTTTCTGGCATTTTAGAATTTGACGGACGAGTTAGACTGTGCAGGCACTATTCTCCTCATTTGTTTGTGAAAACCTTACCTGCTCCTTCAGACATTTTTTATATGATTTGGCATTCCTTTATGACATATTCAGCAGAAAAAATATTTTCAAGATGTCCCTTGTCACTAGCATGGCAAATGTGGAACTATAGTTGATGATCTGATGAAGTTGATAGCCTTTAATTGGACTTTGTTATTTTAATTTATGTACAACTACTCAGTCCACATGCCTATTTTATACAGTGGTACCTCGGGTTACATACACTTCAGGTTACATACGCTTCAGGTTACAGACTCCGCTAACCCAGAAATAGTGCTTCAGGATGAGAACAGAAATCGGGCTCCGGCGGCATAGCAGCAGCAGGAGGCCCCATTAGCTAAAGTGGTGCTTCAGGATTAGAACAGTTTCAGGTTAAGTACGGACCTCCGGAACGAATTAAGTACTTAACCCAAGGTACCACTGTAGTTTTGTTTTTCATGTTTTAATTTTCATCTGGTGTTATAGTTGTTCTCTCTATTTTATACACATTATAAAATGAAATAATAATCACAAACTTTACAAAGAAGAAAAAAGAAATACTAGCCAATCAGTGGCGGAGCTTCATGCTCCAGCACTGGGGGGCGGAGAGCAGGCAGGGGCGTGGCACGCGTCCTGGGGGTGTGGCACACCGCTTACAGGGGCGTGGTGCCCAGCGTGGGGGGGGCAGCCGCAATGGCACCCTACTGGGATCGCACTGCTGGGGGCAGTGTGCTCCCCCCGCACTCCTCTTCCTCCGGCAGTGTAGCCAATGAAATTTAAGGAAAGAGACCTAACCAATTAGTCAAAGGGAAGGCAAGAGAAGGCAAAACTCTTGATTTATTGTTAAGCTTCTTCTGTTGGTCTTCCCTGGTAAATAAGTGATTGCTGCTCCATAGAAAACAATTTGATTATACAAGATTTTAAGGTAGCTGTGATTTGGGACAAGTGTGCCAGCCCAAGAACAAAAGATAACAGCAAAGAAGGAGTTCATGATTTTTCTATCACAGATATAATAATAAAATAACATTTTATATGGAGTGAGTTTGTAAATATTTTAAAAATTACTCTGCTAATGCCAGCGCTGATAAAGTCAATCAATGTTAATAGCTATATTGCAGGGGGCAGCACTATGGTTGAGATAGTATGGGGTACACCAGCCCTACAAAGCAGCCCAGACTTGTTACACCCATTTTGTTGAAAGGAGGGAGGAGGCTGTGTTTTTTAAGTTGTGAGTGGACTGTGAAACTGATTGTAGGAGGAGTACAATTAAAAGCTAGAGGAGGTGAAGGCAGCTAGGCATAGAACTAAGACTTTCAGCAGTGAGTGGAAGGAAGTTCCCTGGATGCTGTGTTTACTCATTGAGAAACAACAGGGGGGTAGACCTGACATATAGGTTGCTCAGGGACCAGATCTAACTAGGCCTTGCCATTGCAGAGTCACCAGCGCTGCCAGAAATTGTTGACCTGTTCTCTGATGCTAGTTATGTTTGTCTATTTATTTGGAGTATTTTCTTTTCCCTCCTTGGAAAAATTCCTGGGGACTCCCTTCTATCTACTTTTAAATCAATTGTACCTAAATAACTCATATATATGCTTGTACCCAATATATCAAAATGTTTTCTTTTTCTTTTTCCTTTTCCAGTTGCTCAAGTACTCCTCATCTCTGGTTCACAGACTTTATCAGAAATATTTAAATATGACTGCTCATTAGAGAAAACGTAAGAGATGTTTACATATCTTTTTTGTGGATTGTGGAACAGCTTCGTTAGGGTGCTTTCACATTAGATGTTTCCTCTTGAATTGTCACTCTTCATTCTTTGTACTGTTACAAGATATCTACACAGTGTCATCATAAATGTGTTATCTTGTATTCTCCCCATGGTACTTTCACCTCTTTTAAAACTTTTTTGGGGGGATAATCACTTGTTTTTTGGAAGGAACAGAACATAGTGCAATATCTGTAGATGCAGCGCTAAATTGAAATACTCTTCTGTATTTTTGAAGGAATATGGTTGTAGATCAGTGATAGAGTACACCCTTTGCATGCAGAAGCTCTCAGCTTCAGTCCCTTACATCTCTAGGTAGGGCTTGGAAAAATCCTTTTTGAAACCCTGGAAACCCATTGCCAATCAGTGTAGGACCAACCTTCCCCGCCAGATGTTTTGGTCTACATCTTGTGTGATGACCACAGGCCATACTGAATGTGGCAGCTGGAGCTGAGCATCTGCACAACACCAGATTGGAGAAGACAGGTGCAAACAATGTCGGTGGTGATCATTCAGACAGCTGAGCCTATTCCCAGGTCTCTACTTTTCAGTACATAGACCATGCCATTTTTAGTAATGTTATTTTTTTTTAAAGTCAGAATAACATCTTCACCCATATTTTAAATCTATATTTGTGTAATTATACTATGTAATTAAACTACATAGTGCAAAATGTTAAATAAATTAAAAAGGATCTCACTGCATTTCTGGTTGGTGCCATTGCAGTTAGCTTAAAAATTATTAGCACAGTAGCAGCTAAGGAAGGGGGAGCTCTTTTTGGTAAACATGAAAACCTCTGTGTGTGTGTGTGTGTGTGTGTTTTGAAAATAAACATCCTGATAAAAGGTTATGCCACCTACCCACCTACATAGCTGTATATGACACACCAAAGTATGGATTATGTATAACAGGATGTACATTTTTTGTAAAGTGTGAGACTACCTGAAGAGTCTTGCCATTCTGCATGTAGGGTAGAGGAAGTGCAATCTTTATATAACACTTGTCAATCTGGAAGCAACCTTAGCAATGAATAAGCCTTATGGGTAGGCTTGTTGTTTCGCTTGGAGTTATTATTAGCACATAGATTTATAACCATACTTGGCCCATGATACATTCTTTTGCTGAAGCATCACTTTAGATCTCAGCTCTGTTTCCCTGAACTCATAGCACTCATAGCCAACCTCCAGATAGTGATGAAAAAGAGCCATTGTGGATTCTGTTGTGCATTAACTCTATCTAAGCTACCGTGTGCTTCACACAGAAGCGTATTTTCCAGAATTGAGAAGTTGGTGGGTAGGGGGGCAAGGCAGGTCCAAAATGAAGGCTTACGTTTCTAATTAATTGGTGCAGTAAGGCTTGCCACTCATGACTCCTTTTGTGTTAACCAAAGGGTTTTTGGAACAGCTCCACAACAACCTCTGGCCCCAAGGCAAAACCCTTTCAACGGATTTACAGTTTTAAGTGAGATCATAGGGATGATGGAAGTTTAAATAGCAAGGAGGAATGGACAGTGTGATTTTTTTTGCGCTACCACCTTAACATAACATATGACCTTTACTTCAGATGGTATGAGCCACCTACTTTTGCCAGCAGTTGAAGCAATGCTATAGAAACGATCCACTTCACTTGCCATGTTCAGAGGCAGCATGGTACTGAATTCAGTCACTCAAAATCAACAGCAAAGGAGGACTGTTACCTCCATGCAATGATTTTGGGCTTCCCAGGGGCATTTGGTTGGTTGCTTTGGGAGGCAGAATGCAATGGTCTTTTAATCTAATCCAGCAGGAGTATCATTATGGAGCATTGCTTTCCCATGCCTAATATGGCAAAGGTGCCCTTGAAGTTCTCCTGCTGATCCAAATTGACTTTACATGTTACAATTAAATTTCCAAGTTTTCAGCAGGCAGTGTAATATCTGAATTGTAGCGGACCAGTGTTCTGAGTTACTGAGGCCACTATATGAAAAGCCTTAGCTTGAGTAGAGCTAAATAAATATTTTTATTATAATATTTTTATTATTATATTATTTATGACATGTAAGCCCCCTGAGTAAGACCTAGAATTATATACTGACATGCCTTCTCTGCTGGATCTCACCAATCCCTGCAGTTGTGTAAACTATTATTTTATATTTCTAGATGTTCAGAATGTGTGTCTCGTGCTGGTTGCACCTGGTCTACTAGAGAGAACAAATGTGTCTCCTCTACCATGACTTGTACACAAAAGGTAATTTTTCTGGCTTGTATTGAATTTAGATCGCTATATGGAAAGCTTTTTATCTGACGAATGGTGTTTTTTTAAAAAAATATTCTAAGGAAGTGCTTTCAATTTTTTCAGGTTGACTGTGATTCAGTTACTACCAGTGCTTCAGATGGGAAAGATATTTCACAGAGACCAGAGGTCAGCAGATATTCTGAAACTGATAAGTTATAGCACAATTGATTGGGGGGGGGATTCACCCATCTGTTAACACCATCTCCACCTTTTCCTATAATGTATCCAGCTCACTGTCAATCATATGCTGTTTTCACTGATGGCAAGGGTGAAGGAGGCAGAAGACTAAAAGGACATGGTGGAAAATAAGGGGAAGCATTGCAGGGTGATGGTTGGCAATTGGACATACTAATTGCCCCTTCAGTACAGGACCTTTATGAGCTCCTGTAGACCTTTCCCAAGTCCAAGCTCAGGAGAATTCCACTGGCTTCTCTAGTCTCTCTTGCTTATGCTATGAAATGCTTTGCATAACTCATAAGACTAGTAGCAGTAGCAACAATGCTAGTAAAATACCATGGGATGTTTGTGTTGCCTTCGCTTTCCACTGCTGAAATATAGATAGTTGAGATTTGTGTGTGTGTGTGTTTCACATTTTCTGCTTTTACCCTTTGTACTCATGGGAATTTGTGCTATAATGAATAACAATGCTGTGTTTGGGTCAGATACCATGACACTATAAGAAATCAGTAGTTGTCATTTAATATAATTAGTGGAAGGATTTCATTTCACAGAGTTACCCTCTGGGTTGAATTCTAATCCTGTTGGATCACTTTTCTCCAAATCTAGCTAGCAAATGCCTTGATCAAGCTTAAAAAACAACAATACAGAGCTGAATACAGTACATACATACTGCTGCAATTATCTGCTGTATGTGTTTTCCTCTTCAGTGATTTGGGATGATATATACTTAGGAACAAAAAACAGTCAAAATGTAGTTTTGATTTTCTGTGTAACTGTAACTGTGTTTTCCTTTACACTTTATTGGATTGCACAGGTGTTGCCCAAAGAGCACACTGTTGTTTGAGGGATTGCCATATGCCAGTGAGTTGACTATATTATTAGTACTGAATAGTATAAATTAAGTTTTGCAATTCTTGGTTTGTGTATTTTTAGGCAATCACCATAGTTTCAATCTGACTTAAACATGTTATTATTGAAAGTATCTATTTCCTTGTTCTTTTCTACCCACCACCAAATCAGGTTTCTTTCCTGTGTTAAACTGATAAGCCATTATGCATTAGATGGTGCTGAAACTGTAGAAGCAAATGTTGTGTTGGGTGGAGTGAATTAAAACTGAACTGCTTCTTTTAAGAAATGGGGGGAACTGGAGGGTTTAATCGAACTAATCTCTGAGCTGGATGGTAAGATTTCCACCACAGGAACAAGGAAGGGGGGCTGTTGGGTATGGGAGACTCACTGAAAATAGTTTCCCTCCCTAGTTTGCTGGCTGAAGACTTATCAACTGCTTGCCTCACCCCCCCCCCCTTGGTACTCCCATCATACTTCAGGTTTCTAGTGAATACGGTGGCAAATGCAGCTGGTTTTTCTAAGTGTTGTTGGCTGACCCAGGCAGGGCAGCAGCCAGCCAGCCAGCAAGGCACGGCCTATCAGGTAGGGGTCTCTGATTGGCCCATTTGAAGCTAGCTTTCCAGAGGGAAGTCCCACGCTGTGATCCTGCTGGCCAGGGGAATTCACAAATGGCCAGCAATCACCTGTGATCTGGTTGTTGGGGATGGTGGCAGAGAGTGAGGGGCCACAACTGCCACCTACTCGGGAAAGGGCTGAGCAGCCGTTTACTACCATACCACTTCATTTTAAGTATGATTCAGTATCTTTAGTTCTCTTTTTATACCAAAATAACAGTGAGGTCAATGAAAATGTATCTAATCTTAATCCATAAATATCATTTTTTTTTGCTTAACGTTATCACATTATTAGTATCCAAAGAACTTCCTGAAGTTTTCCCATAGGCCTGTGCATTCCCAGTAAAATTGTTTACCTTTTAAAACTTCAGATAACATTTTCCTCCCCTCTGCTGTTTAGAGCACTGTGCATTTTGAATTCTTCCCAGTTTCAAACCTAAATTGTTTTGTGGAATTAGGTGGGACTTGCAGTTCAGGAAACAGAAGTCCAAAGCCATCTGTGTTCATATACAAGTACAGTCCCCTGCCTAGAGGGGCTTACAAAAGAATATTGTGATATTTAGCTTGCTGTTTTGCTAATTCTTATGGAAACCGAACATATTCAGCAGTTTTAACGTTTGTGAGAGATGCATATCAATAGACAATGGACTTCCTGTTGGTAGCTTTAGCTTTTCAGCAGCAAATGCAATTTAGCAGCTAACATCAAGGTTAGCTGCTGTTGCTGAGTCCTTTTGAAATATAGATGAAATATTTGGATTAAAAGACTCATGAAGGAAGAAACAAAGAACCAAACTAATAATTTATAAACTTTTTGTGTCGTTCAAAACAGGGCTCATGCAACTTAGAAACATTAATTATAGATACAGCTATGAAGTATTGTTACATTGTATCCAAGTATACCATTAAATTTGTGCTATGATTTGTGCAGTGCCTATATTATTCTCATGGTGATTTTATTGCAATGCTATTTTGTGGGTATGAGTGTTTTTGTGTTCTCATGGAAATCTGTCTTTTAGGATTTCCCACTCTGTTTAATGGAGGAATCAGAGCCTCTGTTTAATTTCTTGGGGTTGTTGGGGTTGTTGTTTTTTAGTGTATTGTGCGTATGCCCTGGGTGAATGGCAGTACTTTTGAAACTCTGTGGAATATATGTTCACAGATAGATAGATGTGACTGTGTTTTAATAAACATTTCCAAATTATTGTTGTTCTTTGGATTTTTAGCACCAACACATAAGTAATGCTAGCTATATGCAACCCAAAGCATGCCAGTCATACACGGTCCTCTTCTTCTCTCTGGAATAAGTTCTCCTGCCCATTTTTTGCTTGCCTTAGGTGTGTTTTATCATTACACCTACATTGTCACTATCCGGGTTATTCAGATTCATGGGAACTGTGGTTGGCATTAACTATGGCACATATGTGACACTAAACCTTATAAAGGCTGACAAGGGATGAGAGGGGAAATTCATGGGTTACCAAGGCCAGCTCTTTGACCACAGTTTGTTGGGGCAATAATTTATTTTAGCTGGCTTATACAGCAGTTTATATTTCACCAAAAAAATATCTTAAGCAGTTTACAAATTTCAACCGTAAGCAATCAATATAAAAAAATACAAATTCCATATTCAAAACAATACTACCAATACCATAAAAACAATTCCACATTTTAATTAGCATAATTAAATGTAAACATAAATAAGAACCATAAAAGCAAATCATATACAAAAACATCCAAGTGCAGCATAATGACATATCATCATTAAAAGATCTCAAATGATATTATAAAAATCACATAATACAATCACCGAAAATCATTAACCTACACATTCACACTGCCCAAAATTGATATAAACATGTAGTCCCCATATGTGCAATCACCCAACAGTCTTCTTGTACCCAGTGGCAGAGCTTCATGCTCCGGCACCGGGGGGCGGGGCTGGCGCGTGTCCTGGGGGCAGGGCATGCTGTCTGCAGGGGTGTGGTGCCCAGCACGGACGGGGGGGGTGATGGCACTCCACCGGGATCGTGCTGCTGGGGGCGGTGCCCTCCCCCCCCACTCCTCTTCCTCCGCCAGTGCTTGTGCCCATCATTTCATCGCATCCATTCCTCCCTATCTCTCATCTGGGGCAATATACTTATGTCTCCACCAGGCCATAGGCGCTTGTGGATTTGGTTATGCCCTTCTATCTTTTGTTTTTATATTCCATCCTGAAGAATATGAAAACCAATGGAAATTACAGAGCATGGAACAACACTTAATATCTACCCATTAACAAGAAAGGTACAAGTTAAACATGTTAAAAGTGCATGACTGGATATTGAAATCTTGTTTTACTCTGTTTCCAACAGCCCATGCACATTACGTCCATTGAACCAATGTGGATATCAACATTAGGCAGCAGTGAAGTACTAGTCAGAGGAGAAAACTTTTCAAATGCAGATGTTTTGATGGAAATGACTGGAACCAGTAGCTGCAAATCAGAGGAGTGAGTAAAAATACAATCAATTATTTTATCTTTGAAATTAACATGCACCTGTACCGCATAGACATTTATCCTAGAAATGTTTGGACTCATGATTAAAATATATAATCAAAATGGAGCCTTTTAACTGTGTGATTTAGACTTGCTTATTCACACTGTACTAATGTGTTCTTTTGTCGCATTAGTTCCAAAAGTGAAACTTTAGTAATCACTGTAATAATCCCAGTTGTTTTAGGTTGTCCTCCTATTCCTTGGTAGATAGTCTGATCTCTATTTCCCCTCACTAGATTACTTCTATTCTTATTTTTAAATTTTCCACATCTGTGAGTGGAATTAAAAGCAATGTTCGTTCTTAAGATGCTTTCTTCCTCTTCTAAATCACATTACAAAATGAATTTTGATTGAATCCTTGGGCTTCATGTGTTGTTAATTTTGAGTTCCAGTGAGAGTTGGCTTGCAAACTGCTTTAAAATTAAACAGCATTTGGGTTTGGGGAGAATTTGAGAGATGTTCTTCTTCTTTTCAGAATATTTGTCACTAAAGTGTTAAATCGCACACACATGAAATTCTGTTTACCACCAAGTCGCAAAGAAGCCAAGAGCATATGTATAAAGAAAATTGGCTTTCCGTGTTCACTCCCTGTGACACTGTCTTACGTCTCTCTCCCTGCATGTACTGAAATATTTCCAAATGTCACCTGGAAGAGGTAATCTTAAATTATTTTACTTCTTATAAAAAGTAGTACATTGAATATGAATGTGAAATAGTTAACTTAGTATCATAGCAGACCTTATTGTCACTTGTAGAGCCTTCAGTTTTATAGGGTGTGGCTAGGCTTTGAGATCAGATGTTCATGGTGCCATACCAATACATCCAGCAGCTCAGCATTCATTCATTTACATTCATTTACATTCATTTACCACCCTGTACTCATAGGTCTCAGGGTGGTTCACAACATAAAATTACAATTTAAAAAATACAAAATACATAAAAACATAAAATAAAAACAAAGACAACCCATTAATCCCCCCTTCCACAACACATTTTAAAAGGGCATTAGATGTCAGTCAGCCAAAGGCCAAGTTAAAGAGCCCAGCTGCACCCTTATCTGGACAGGGACGGCCTAACTGCTCTGTTAACCTAGGTTAGATTACTGCAACGCATTATAGGTAGGGCTGTCTCTGTCGTTTGGAAAATTCAGCTAGTACAGAATTCAGCTCACTAAATAGGTTGGTCACTGAGGCAAGACAGTTTGCGGACATTACATCAATCCTGGTTCGACTGCACTGGCTACCATTTAGTTTCTGGGCCCAAGTCAAAGTGCTGGTGCTATAAACCCTTAAATGGCTCAGGACCGCAATACCTCGAGGACCGCAGCTTCCAGCCATCACCCCTCTATTATTGTCCATTCTGGGTCGCCCAACCACTGTTACAGTGTCCATTCTCCTGGCAGATCAAGATGAATAGGTGACAGCAAAAGTTACAAGGTTTTTAACCAGGGCAATTAGAATAAGATCCATTATTTGACTATTGATCCAAACCCCCAAAATGTATTTTATGTAATTAACTGTTTACCTTTATCCTCTGTATACTGCATTTTGTTTTATTGCTATGGCTAGTGGCTGATGCAAATAAAGATTCATTCATTCATTCATTCATTCATTCATTCATTCATCCCAGCCATCACCACTCCCATGAGTGACTCCCATACCATTTCAGAACCACTGCTGAAGGAGTCAGTCCACTAAGGAAAGGGAAGACAGCTGGTAGTCGTTATGCTAAGAGTCCATTCAAAGTATTGTATGAGCTAAACATTCTTATATATGCAGTGTGTGTATTGGAAACCTAAGTAGAACAACGAAAACCAATGCTCTATAGTTGTTAGCTTTAAAACCTACTGAAATATGTGACTAGATCTTACTGGAGATTATGTTGCTTACATGTCATGCTAGGCAGACTCCGATCAATTAAAACTCCTAAAAGAGGTGAACAATCACAATCAGTATGGATAGGAATTTTGTCAAGAGAAGGCAGTGTACTGTAGGATCATACTGTCATACGCATGACACACAAATACTCATTCCTTAAGCCAGGCTTGAGATTGACATTTGTGTTTGTGCATAAATTTGCTTTGCAGTCATATGTTGAGAATAGTAGTTTTTGATTTACTGTGGGGTAACTGCGGGAGGCAGTGGAAGGCAGGGGTGCCTGGCGTGCTCTGGTCCATGGGGTCACGAAGAGTTGGACACGGCTAAACAACAACAACAAAATGTCTTCTGAGCTGCAAGCTTGATTATTATTTTTATTTGAAGGAAACCCAAAAATTGTAGTTTTTGATTTACTGTGAGGTAAAATGCTTTCTGAGCTGCAAACTTGTTTGTTTGTTTTTTATTTGAAGTAGACCCAAGTTCCAAGCTTATTTCCTTTCCCTTTTTTTTTTTGCAGTGGAGGTCGCAACATGACTATACGTGGGAGACATCTAAATGTCACAGAAATGGTTTCTGTTTTAGATGGAGGGGGACAAAACTTGGCAGTAAGTGAACTCCCCTCCCCCCCCAAAAAAATGTTGGCTATATTTACATTAATTATAAGTGCCACAATTCTGCAAACTGCCATAAAAGGCAAATGAGTGCCTTCCTGAAAAGTGTCATGATGTTTTGGTCCTGTATCATTAATATTCTTTTTCAGTAGATAATATTGCTGGAACTTGCTTTCCTTTCCCTTTCCCACCCCCCCTCCCTTTGGGGCTTCCAATGAAGGATAAAGGCTCTCTTATTTTGGAGAGTCTTTGGGTTTTTGCCAATTAGATTACCTTTTTTTTTTTTGCTGCTATTATCATTTGAACTTATATAGCTTGCTGATCAATAAATATTTCCTGGGCTGCTTACAAACAAACAAAGTACAATGATGAAAGTACACTGTTATAATGATTAACTGCAACAACAACAACAACAACAAAATAAATGGCAGCAAATAAAAAATCGTTACAGGGGAGAGCACGCGTAAAACAGCATGGATTTATAACACAATTAAAAAGGCTGAGTGAATAAAAAAAATCCTGCTGCCAAGAATGCTATAGAGAAGGCTCCAGGGGAGCAGTTGCGCCACAATTTCACTTGAATTCCTTCACAGCTTCAGTTTTATCTCAACTTTCAAATGACTGGCTTGCTAGTGTGTATATCTAGCTCCCGCTATAAAGCCCTCTCATGCTTGCTACTGTTCAGCTAAATGGGGAGCGTAATGAACATTAGCAAGTCAGTGGAAAGATTATGTTCAACTGAAGCTTCCAGGGAATACTGTCATGCTCAAATCACACCCCAAAAATTGCATTGTTTTAGTGTACATGATTTTTAGTGCATGTGGCATAGTGGATGGGAAGAAACAAAGCTGTGGAAGAAGAGCAAACAATCCATGTTCTGATTCTGAAATTACAGAAATTATTCCAGATAGTACATGACCATTCCTGTACATAGCCAATTACAGTGGTACCTCGGGTTAAGAACTTAATTCGTTCTGGAGGTCCGTTCTTAACCTGAAACTGTTCTTAACCTGAGGTACCACTTTAGCTAATGGGGCCTCCCGCTGCCAGCACGCAATTTCTGTTCTCATCCTGAAGCAGAGTTCTTAACCCAAGGTACTATTTCTGGGTTAGCGGAGTCTAACCTGAAGCGTCTGTACCCTGAAGCACCTGTAACCCAAGGTACCACTGTATTGCAATATTAATATCATTAGAGACTGAACAGGGGAAATATGTCTACCCCTGTGTAACACTACAGGCTTGCCCCATTTATCAAGCATAGGATTCCTTTTCAGGTAGTAAAAAAAAAGGCTATACACAATCTGTATCAAATATCCAAGTTCTGCAGAAAGGAATTCAATTGTTCAAATAAAAAAAAATAGAATTGTCATACAGTTGGTTAGCTAGAATGCTTTATTCTGAACTTAACCTGTGAGAGAAAGTTTGTTTGGGGACCCATGCCTGCACATGTGTAAAAGCTAAAAAAACAGACACACACATAATTGTTGGGATTTTATACTAAATACCAGAATTTTACACGAGTGTATTATCACCAAAGTTTATGGGCCTTAGTCCAATTGTCTAGTGGATTGTGATGTGATTGGTATTTATAGCTTTAAATGCAAGTAAGCTGCAGCTTTTAGACTGCTTACTCTGCAGAAATAAATGAGTTTATTGTAGGAGTAAGCATTTTAAGGACTGTACTCCACCATAAGGTTTGAATTCAGACTTCTGCTTAGTGGAGTTCCAGTCGTGCTGGAGGAAGCCAGTTCCTCCTCCCTGCCCCAGTTCTGAAAACCATCTCCAGAGTGTTGGGTGACTGTCCAGAACAGCATGAGAAATGGGGAAGGGCGGCGGCGGGGGGGGGAATCGATGAAAACAGCTGACCTATGTTCCGTTGGAGAGGCTCCATTGGATCTCAGTTGCTTCTGTGAATGGAAAGAGCCCTTCCGTTCACACAAGTGACCCCCTGAGTCCAGCACAAAGTGTCTTAACGTAGGCTTGCCATATGTCAGAAAAATTCTAGACACGTGCTGGTTTCTGGGTGTAAAAATGGTGTCAGGAGGGAGTTTTGCCGAAGTGGCAAAATATCAAGGGAAAACCCGGCTGTATGGCAATGGAATGGGGGGGGGGGAATCAGCGTAAACAGCTCCAAAAGCTTAAAATCACTATTTTGGGGGGAGGTTTCCCCCAAAAAGCTCAACAAAAAATGGCTACCCTACTTAAGGAATATTGTGTACAGTGGTACCTTGGTTTACAACCATAATCCGTTCTGGAGGTCCATTTGTAAACCCAAACAGGTTGTAACCCAAGGCGCGCTTTCACCAATGGGGCCTCCAAAAAAAAATTTGCTCGTAATCCAAAAAAAATGGGTTGTAATCCAAAAAAAGGTTGCAAACCAAGACATGCACTTTTGGGTTTGATGTGTTTGTAATCCAAAATGTATGCAAACGAAGGTACCACTTTATATGAAAATATTAAGTTAAATTCCATGGAATTCTGTGATGTAAGCATCATAACTGTGCATAGAATTGCAGCCAACATATTGGCTACAATTTAACAATGTGTACTATACAGTGGTACAGTGGTGCCCCGCAAGACGAATGCCTCGCAAGACGAAAAACTCGCTAGACGAAAGGGTTTTCCGTTTTTTGAGTCATTCCGCAAGACAAATTTCCCTATGGGCTTGCTTCGCAAGACGAAACGTCTTGCGAGTTCTTGCGAGTTTGTTTCCTTTTTCTTAAAGCCGCTAAGCCGTTAATAGCCGCTAATAGCCGTGCTTCGCAAGACGAAAAAACCGCAAGAGGAAGAGACTCGCGGAACGGATTAATTTCGTCTTGCGAGGCACCACTGTACCTCGAGTTAAGAGCTTAATTCATTCTGGAGGTCCGTTCTTAACTGAAACTGTTCTTAACCTGAGGTACCCCTTTAGCTAATTGGGGCCTCCCACAGCTGCCGCCACTGCACCACCGCGCGATTTCTGTTCTCATCCTGAAGCAAAGTTCTTAACCCGAGGTACTATTTCTGGGTCAGCAGAGTCTGTAACTTGAAGCGTCTATAACCCGAGTTACCACTGTATACAATTTGGCAGTGCTTTATAGTTTTCTCATTTTCCCCCTTTCCCCCTTTTTCTTTTTCTAGAAATTTACATGCCGCAGTGACAGATCTGAGTGTAATTTTACAACACCAGCTGTTAATACTGAGAAAAGTAATGTAAAAGTTGTTCTAAAAGTTGAAACGAAAAATATACCTTGCATTGAATTTGGATATGAACCTGACCCTGAATTTATTCACTATGAACTGACAACTGATATGCATCCTGCCTTGGAGTTAAAAATACATGTAAGATGCTGGTTTGGGTTTTTATAAAGAGAAAACACAAATCTTCTATTTTAAACATTCATATGCTAAATTCTTTGAATTTGGTGCATATTTTACACTTCATAGTATTTTCTTATCTCTTTCCAGAAAAAAAATGATGGGTTAAATATTTCTAAACGTGAGATTGCCGTTTTTATGTCCTGCATGGCTGCTGAGAAATTGCTAAACATAACTTTCACTGTTCAAAATATTTCGCAAACGGAAAGTCGCAGCACTATTTACTGCAGAGCCCAACAGACATCCAATGACAAGATCGATACATCCAGCGTGAAGGTTTATGTGAGTAAAAGCTTATGGACTCTATATTTTTTCTTATTACATGTGAATATACTATTTAATCTAACATAAAACAAAGAAGAAAGTACTGCCATGGGATTAAATGAACAAAGAAACATAAGTACTTTATAGTCTTAACCAAAATTTTCAATTCTTTAATTAATATATTATTCTCAGTGTGACATTCACAGTTACCAAATAGCACTTAGCAAAGATAAGGACAATACCTTAATTTCATTTTTTGCTTGATTAAGAGAGTATCGGCACAAAGCTATGAGTGTGCACTAGCAATAAGTTCCATGGGTCAGTCAGACAGAACATCCTCCAGAGGATGTCCTGCAAAGCAAAGGTCCTATGACTACCAATGTGAGCACCCTACATCCACCGTCCGAAATTATTGAGCACCTGGGCGACTCTCCGTGTAAAAATACCATCAGAATAAAGGGCAGCCAGTTGCCACAAAAAATGGTAAACTCCAAACATTCTTCGGAAAACAACTGACAAAGATTAGACTTCAGTAAAGCCAAGTCCAACTTTAGCTTTCTAACATGGAATATCGCAGGCTGGCCTAAAAAAGCATCTGACCCGTCCTTTGTTAAGTTCACCCAAGGTTATGACATTGTATTTTTACAGGAGACTTGGAGTACAAGCGAAATAGATGTTAATGGTTTTTCCTCGTTCTGCCTCTCAGGATCACTAAGCAACAAAGGGGGGGTGGCGAGTCAAAGGGGGGCTGGGTATTTTAGTTTCAACAAGGCTGAGGGCTACCCTAGTAAGATTGGAGCCCCTGAACCATCTGGCCATAGCCCTGTTAGTGAGATGTAGTTTCTATAGGCTGTTACTGATTAACGTATATCCATGGGCTGAAGGTCAACTATCACCACATTGGAAGAGGTACATTCTCTCCTGGCACTTGCTTGTAATGTCTGAGGCCTGTATTGCATACCTTTTCTCTCTCTTCCAAATAAGCTTCCCAATAAGTAGATTAGTTTGCTTTGATTCTCTTACTTTGGTAATATTTGTGACACCAACGTAAATTTCTTAGGGATTCATCAGTCCAAACTGAGACTTAAACTAACCTGGGTGGGGGGGTGTTTATGACCTCCAAAAGTTCCCCCATGAGGGAATGCATTTGGGCTAGAGTCCCCCCACCCTGCTGTATCAAGGGTGTGTGCACATGTGCACAGCTCATCAAAGGCAAAAAAGCCCAGTTTTTGAGAATGCAATATAAAATCAATTAAACTGAGAACAAAGGGGATCAAAACTGTATGAAAACAGGTACGCTTGGGCATTATATTTTTCTATATTAATACTTGTATGATAAATAATGCAGTGCAAAATATAGGTAACCAGATGCCACGCACAAATACTGATGTGTTATACTCCTTCAACATGATCTTACAGTAACTATAATTTAGAAACGGAAGTGCTGGTAGAAAACCATATGATTTGATTTTACATTAAAAAATCCCAAAGATATAGCTCCAAAATTAATATGGGGCAAGTATTTGTGCATCTTAGTTTTCCCTGAGTCTTTTGTGGGGAGTAGATTGGTAATGTTGAGCATTATTTTTGTGTTCTCCCGTTTTCCCTTGTGTTGTACAGTTGATTTAATCTTGGGTTAGATAGCACTGTTGAGTTTCCTTCTTTCCTGCATCGCTTCTATATATAGCAGCTCAGTCATTGTTATTTCAGTCATGCTTGGAGCTGCAGCTCCCTGTGCGAATGGAGTGCTAGAAGGAGAGGTAACAGTGTCTATGGTTTCGTCTATTGATTTCAACACATAGTATTAGCTCAGATGCAGTGTGCTGTTTTTTCCAGCCACAGAAGAAGGAAAACAACCCAGAGAGGAGGGTCAAGAACTACATATCAATATAGGTCTTTCTTACATATTCATTTCCCCCTCCCCAATCCACTAGGTCAAGCTGGGAAACTTTAAGCAAGAAGTTCCAAAAGAAGCACACAACTATTCATATTTGACCCTTCTTTTGTTAATCCCCATAGTCATTGCTGGTAAGTAACACTATTCACGTGTCCAGTTTTCCATCTGTTAAAAACCAGTAAGCGCATGCAATGGTGGTCAGTGGGGTGGTTTGTTAAGTGAAAGACCCAGCAGCCCTGACACAGCAATCTGTGATGGATGAGACTTTCTGCCTTTGTTTTGTGGTGGAGGAGGAGGAGGAAGAGGGAGGGAGGGGGGTTTAGTAGCCAACACATGCAAGCTTACAGTTCTTGCATAGCTGGTCATTCCCTAATAACATCAGCAACCGGTACCCACACTGGGGCAACGAACTTCTTTGTAACAATGTGTTGTACGGTGGCGGTCACTACTACCTTTTGGCGACTATTCTGAGAAACAGCTGTTTTCAAAGTACTGCAGATTCCCGGTTTTGCCTTTTGTTTTGATAAAAAGAATGCAAATTAGTATATTTGATGGTTCTTATTTCTGCTTTTTATTGAGTACAGTGCTACCTCAGGATGCGAATGGGGATCCGTTCCGGAGCCCCGTTCGCATCCCGAACAGAATGTAAGACACAACAGCACGTCTGCGCGTGCCGCGTTTCGCTGCTTCTGCACATGCGCATGACGTCATTTTGGCCGTCTGCGCATGCGCGAGCGATGAAACCCAGAAGTAACGTGCTCTGTTACTTCTGCGTCACCGTGGAGTGCAACCCAAAAGCACTCAACCTGAAGCGTATTTATTCCGAAGTATGACTGTGTCAATTTTCCCCCCCAGTTGCAATTTTCGTGACCCAAAGAAAATCCAAGCAGTTGAACCGTAAACTGAGTGAACACCTGGAGCTTTTGGAATGTGAACTCCGCAAAGAAATACGTGAAGGTGTGGATTTTAATTTTTTTAGAGCTCTTTTGTGGATGAGGCGCTTCGTGGTCTATCAAGTGCATGTATTCCTTCAAGTAGATCACCATTCTGTGATTTCCCATAGTCATAACACACAGAATTCCTTCTTCATGTTAATATTAGCAGTTCTGTGATAGCATGAGGCTATATCAGGGATGGCCTGTGTGGTGCAGCAGATGGTAGTAATTGGCTGCCATCATTCTCTAGAAGCCAAGGGGAAGAGAGATCAGCTGCTTTCAAGCAGAATATAATGCAGTGATGTTGGAAGCAGAAAGTGGCTGGGTCAGCACCATGTGTGCAGGTATTGATTAGCCAGTGGCACCTATTATGGGCACAAACTGACATAACTAAGAGTGTTGTGTCTCTCCCTCCACTGCCGCCCCACAACTGCCCCTGGTAAGAATCTAGGCCCCAATTTGACCTCTGTGCAGCTGCCATTTACTACTGCCAGCCCACCATCTTTGTACCACTACATTGTGTTCAACAGTGCAGGTAAATGGGATATTTATTTACGTGCCTTTAGTGCCATTTGCCCAGTATTGTGGAATGCTCTGCCAATAGAGATTCAGCAGGCACCTTTTGTTCCAACTCTTAAACCTTTCTGGTTCCATCAGGTTTATTCAAGCAGCTCAGAATACATCTTTCCATAGCAGTTAGCTAATTTCTGCTTTTAACATTCTTATATGACTTTTACTGTAAGATTTTATATATAATCGTTGTAAACTGCTCTGCTATTTTTATGAATAAATAACTATTAAAAATCATATGTGATCAGCATTTCCCATTGCATTAAAAATGAGTACAGAGATAAATGTATGCTGTGAAAACTGTCTCATGATAGCTACTTTCCAATATCGCTTTGAAAGCTGTAATTAAGATAATGTTATATTACAAAAACCAGCACTCCAGGGGATCTTTGTTTCTTGCAGGCTTCGTAGAGCTGCAGATGGAAAAATTGGATGTGGTTGATAGTTTTGGAACGATCCCCTTCCTTGACTACAAACACTTTCTTATTCGAATTTCCTTCCCGGAGGTAAACGACTGCTTATGTATTTGTTACAAACTTTTTGCACTTACAGATAGGTAGCCGTGTTGGTCTTCCTGTAAGACCTATTGCAGTCGTTAAGAGTCGTCAACAGGCTCATCACAGCTATCTGCCAATCACCCATTCCCACCACCCTTCTGAGTAATACCCCTCCCCACCTTCTCACTATATAGAAGGATCTGGCAACTTCTGTTTCAGTGTATCTGAAGAAGTGTGCATGCACACGAAAGCTCATACCAAGAACTAACTTAGTTAAACTTTTTGCAGTAATTGAAATCGCCCAAGTTGTAAACGTGTCATGGCTTTGCATAGTTAAATGACCTTTATAATAAAAGGGCAGCGCTTACACAGAATAAACCTTGCTGATTTTAAGATTTGGGGTTTGGTTATGTTTCTGTTGCTGTTGAGCTTTTGTGGGATTTCTGAGGTTGAACTCAGCTAACTCAGTGGAAGCCAGCACAAAGACTCGCACTACTGCAATGGGACTCTTCGCCCCACGTGCCCCTGCACCTTCCCAAAATCCACTCTGAAGGGTTAGGAGAACCCCAGAACAGTGCACAGGAGCAGAGGGGACATGCCATTCATCAAAGTATTATCAGGGCATGTTGTTTTGCTGCCAGGTCACCTCAGGTGCTGTGACATTCTACTAAAAAGTTCACTGAAGTTGACTTCAACCCAGAAAATTATTACGTGAATCCAGTTTGCTTATAAAAATATGGGGCAGTTTATGCAAAGGTCTCCCTATGAAAAATCATTTGGTTATTGTGTGCATGCAGCTTCATCATATGGGCCAATCCAAACCACTGCTTTTTATTTGAATGCTTTATCTATTTTGCAATCTTTTGTTTTGCAATCTTCTGTCAACATCATAGTCGTCAATCTGTTATTTTAGGCTGGAGGCACGTCGTTTATCTTGATTGAAGACTCCAGTGAACCCCTTGTAAGTGTTTTACATATAATTTTAGTTTTCTTACAAAGGAGATAACTGGTTTAACAGAAATGAAAACTGGGTAGTATGATTCTTTTAGTGCTTCTAGCGAATTTCTGTTGTCATTTTATGCTGTATCTTGCTTTGAATTCCTATACAGAGAATGCAACAGATAACTTTTATAAATAAGAAAAAACAAATCTGAAGGCTGTAACTAATTTCCATACAGAGTTGTGCACAGTTCACAGGATGTGTGTATTATGTTCATTAGCATGGCAGGTGGCAAGCTATATTTCACTGGCAGCCTTATGCCCAGCATTGCTCAGGAATTGTAGGAATCTGTCAACCTGGGGAACGCTACCCCTTCCCAGATCCATTCTCAAATACGTTCACAGGCAGAACTAATGTTTAATTAGGGTTTTAAACCACTAATTAAACATGTATCCAGGAGACGGAGGGGGGAAGTTGTCCTTGTGCCTTTCCTCCTACGAAGACCAGGAGTGCCTTTCCCCTAGGATTGCTCGCTCAGGGGGCAGTCTGGGGACAGAAGAGCCAGGTTGAAAGGAAGGTTTCCCCCCACTTCTTACCTGTCCCCTGACAGTCACAGATCAGATCACTCTGAGCCACCCAACTCATAGTGATCCATGTCTGTCTGAACCGAGTTGATGCTCAGGTCCCTCCAAAGGCCCAATTTGCCTCAGGACAAAACTGAATCCACTGCACAGCCTTCATATCTATCTGCTCTGAGCTGTTATTGATAGGGATACTTATAAATCCTTGCTGTATGGGAGTTAATGAAGTTTGAAATCCTTACGCTCTTCTTTTTCAGAGAACAAAGAATACAGTGAATCTTAAAAACCTGCTAACAGGGATGGTGAAGCTGTGGCCCTCCAGATGTTGTTGGACTACAATTCCATCTCCTGAGCACTGACCATGCCCATTGGAGCTGATGGGAGTTGGCATCCAACATCCTTTGGAGAGAGACAACCCATCCCTGTCCTAGCAGTTCCTAGCAGTGGTTGGCTAAAATAATATTACCTTGCCTGCCTGAAGATCTTTTTTTATTTGTTTGTTTTGTATTCAACAACAATTTTTTTTGTATTCGATGCTTGCAGCTATAATTTATAATAAAACGAACAACATATTAAAAACAAAGAAACATACATACAATTCATGTATTTCAGAGCAGAAATCCTGAGCAGAAGGATGAAAGCATTACAGCATTGTACGCCTTAATTTGTAACAAGCATTTTCTTGTTACTCTGATTCATACGCTTGAAAAACAGAAAACCTTCTCTGTAAAAGACAGGTATGCTACAGAACTTAGATTCTTCAACTTGTAGAAACATGAAAGAACAACCTGCACATATAGAAATGTTGTGTTTCTGTTGACTTTGATCCCTCACACTGCTCCCAAAAAAAATCTCATTAGTCAAACTGGAAAGAAAATGTAGGTGGTAAGCAATGAAGTTTTGGTTCAGAGTACTTAATGAAATTAATGGAGCTGCCTTAGTCATGTTCATTAGTTCAGTGAATCTACTCTGAATAAAACGTGGTTGAATACAACCTGTATCTGATTCTTACAGAGGTACTTTCACTGTTATGTCTGTGTAATTACCTTGAAATAGAAACATATTTGAATCTTGCTAAGAGTTCAGTAACTTAGAATATTGAAACAGAATATGCAGACCAAATTGCACTAAGGCACTCTTCTGTAGAATGAAATTAACATATTCATTGGTGTTAGTTATTCTGTTTTGTGAATACTAATAGACATTCTGGGCTTTATTGGATTAAACGACTTGGAAGATTGACTGGATGGAATAGCTAGAAACCAAAACTGGACAGCTAGGACAATGCTAATACAAAGGGGCACCCAGTAAGATAATTAACTCACTTCTCTCCAACCCTTGCAGTTGTGGGGTTGGGGTGTTTTGAGGGTTGAAGTGGCAGGCCAAGTTAAGGATTCGTCTCCACTGAAGTGAAATTCCAGGTACTGAAGATAACTGGAGGTCACTTTTTTTAGCTGCATAATTTACACAAGTTACTTATTCATCTCATAGGAGCTTCCAGCAATCATTTTCCTTCACTTGAAATAATACAAAAAGTTGGCAGCAGTGTTTAATGGTCTAGACCAGCCTTTCCCAACCTTGGGTCTGCAGATATTGTTGAAATACAGCTCCCATCATCCCTAGCTGGAAGGACCAGTGGTCAGGGATGATGGGAGTTGTAGTCCAACAAAATATCTGCAGACCCAAGATTGGGGAAGGCTGGTCTAGAAAATAAGTACAGTGTTCCTGCCATATGTCCTTTTCTTTGGTTACCTGTAGAGTGATGGACAGAGTTTAAAACTGTGGCATTTTGGTTCTTAGGTCTATGGACAGTACAAGTCTTGGTTTAATTTGAGACCTACTTCTGGAGCTTTGTCATGTGGACCATTTATACTCACTGCCTTATGTTAACAAGTGATCGTGCATTTTGTATCCTCCATTTTATTGTTCTCCAGGTTTTCTTAGTAGTTCTATTTTATTTTATTTTATTTTGGAAGTGCTGGTATTTCCTTCAACTTTATGTGACAGCTGCCAGGATGAGTGTGGCAGCATATAAATCGAGATAGCATTGCTATTACTTAGGTAATGATGTAGGCAGAATTACATATTAGCTTATATTCAAGTTCTTCCTCTTTTTGTCATTAAATTTATTATTCTCTTTATAAACAGATGCTTGTTTGCATCATTCTTGACGATCGCACTACAAACAAACCTAGTCTACTTAACCCATATTCTAGAGGTCTTGACAAGGGATTTGATGGAACAGTCTAGCAATATACAACCGAAGCTGCTGCTAAGGCGTACAGAGTCGGTGGTAGAAAAACTGCTGACAAACTGGATGTCTGTTTGCCTCTCTGGTTTTCTTCGGGCAAGTATTGTATCTTTTCATTATACTTGCTTGTTTTCATGCAGAAGGAACCACTTGTGATGTGCATGTACAGCAGCTTTCTTGCCTAGCAGTCTGTTCAGTACTTAGTAACATGCATGCACTCGAAGAGTCCCCTTCAGTTCAGAGGAATACGTTTGCATGAACAGGTTTTATTTTGAATCATTAAATGAATGGGAACCCCACATTTGAGCACTCATAAATATTTGGGGTAAAAGATGAGGAGTAGGAAAATGAACTGTTTAGAGAAGGAAAAAGCCTTTCCAGGTTCATCTGTGGCATCTACCATTTCAAACATTGCTTCATATTTTTTTTAGAGAAGCCACATGTACATAGGCAAAAATGTGAAACATACAGGTAGAACGTATTTTGTGATAATTGCACATGTGTCTCTTCCACTAAATGTATGCATAACTGCATCCTGCAGCTGGCTGCCACTTCCCATTACACATACATTATATGTAGATGTGAAGAAATAGATGAGCATGCAATCTATATGTGGGGTTCATGTCTTTCCCTACATGGAAATGCCTATTATTTGCAGCAGACTTTAAGCAGGGCAGTTTTTCTGGTTTCCCCCGTTTAACAAATAAGTTGTCATGCATAGAAAAATGCAAAGAAAAGAGGGTATAACTATAAGCCAGTGTGGTGTAGTGGTTGACTTGTAATCTGGTGAACCGGGTTCACTTCCCCGCTCCTCCACATGCAGCTGCTGGGTGACCTTGGGCTAGTCACACTTCTCTGAAGTCTCTCAGCCCCTCACCCACAGAGTGTTTGTTGTGGGGGAGGAAGGGAAAGGAGAATGTGAGCCGCTTTGAGACTCCTTCGGGTAGTGATAAAGCGGGATATCAAATCCAAACTCCTCTTCTTCAATAACATTGTGTTTCATTATGTTTCTTAGGAGACATTTGGGGATCCATTCTATATGCTTGTGACAACCCTAAATCAAAGGATAAACAGAGGCCCTGTGGATGTAATAACCTGCAAGGCCTTGAACACACTAAATGAAGACTGGTTACTGTGGCAAGTAACTGAATTCAATACAGTGGTATGTCTTGTTAATTGTGTGTCCAGCAAATGAAACCAACAAGTCTTGTATGGTAGAAACTATATGGCTAAGCAGGGGTGGAATTCTAGATCATGAAGTGGTCTCGCATATGTAGTCTACGGTCAAATTGTGGTTCTTCACAGACTGACATTCATAACAGATTCTAGTGTTATGAGAGGGAGAGAAAAAATGCCAGATTGCTTTCTCCACACCATCTATAATTCGTGAGATAGGTCACTTAGTTTTTAGAGATGGATGATCTTGAGGCTGAGAGATACTGGCTGCAGTTAACAAGCTTCAAACTAATACACTCTCACCTCAACTTTCCCAGTATGGTTGCAAGATCAGAAACACTTCTGTTTCCAAGTAGCCAAAGTTTATATTATTATCTGAACCATGACAAACTGTAGCTTAATCTATAGTTTGTCCAAACAACCAAAGATAAAATTGTGATTTCTGATCCTAGCTTATTTGGATAGGCCATACCTAAAAACACCAGTTCAAATAAATAAAATACTGTTCAATTTATTTATCTGGAAGCAGATACTTACAATTTCATGCCTGCATCAGAAGAGATAAGAGGCAGTTATTTCATACATGAAAACTATGCCTTAGCATTATGACTAGATCAGGTTACTGACTTGCCTGAGTCCACTCAGCTTGCTTTTGGGTATGAGATTGAACTCTGCTATATGTGGCCCAAACTTAGCACACTAGCTCAGTTGGGACTGAGTAACTGTGAAGTGTAAAAACATGTTTTTGAAAGATCTATATTAATTTCCTCTGACATAATACAAGATTTGCTAACACAGATGATAATGATTTCGATACAAGTGGTTTACATATGACTGCTTGAACATTAAGATAATCTTTGGAGGCCCTGCTCCAAGCGAAGTGTCAGGTGGCTGTCAAGGAGAGCGCTTTTTCAGTGGTGGCACCTCGGCTATGAAATAGGCTCTTCAAAAAAACTTCCTTGGCACCAGCTATAAGGTCTTTTCAGTGGCAGGTGGTTATCTTCTTATTCAAGGGTTTTTTTGTGCTTTAAGTCTGGGTTGTAAATTATATTGTGTTTAAACATTTGTTCTCTTTCAGGAATTAAATGTTGTCTTTGAAAATATCCCACAAAGTGAGTGTGAAGGCACTTTTCAGACAATTCAAGTTAATGTCCTGGATTGTGACACCATAGGGCAAGCCAAAGAGAAGATCTTGCAAGCCTTTCTGAACAAGAATGGCTCTCTTTATGATCTTCAGCTCAACGAAATGGCCTTGGGTAAGGCATTGCCACTGCCCTATTTTTGTCATAAATTTATAATCTGGCATTTATTTTCCTTTGTTGACCCTTAGAACAGAATTTAATAATGGGTTTTTGAAAAACCACAATTGAAAATTTCTCTGCTGTTAATAGAATAGACGAGACCCACAAATTACTATGAATTCATTAAAACCAATCTGTTTTAACTAAATAAATTCTGTCATTTGTGGATTACAGTTAGTTTACGTAATATGTAGCAACCTATTGAGGACTGGGCAAATTAAATGCTTGACAAGCACAGTATCACAGTCACTGTTGCTGCAGTATTAGCTGAAGCAGAATGATCCATTGGGAATAACCAGCACAGCACTGGTAGTAGTGATCCACCTCAATAGCTGCTCACAAAACCCTATTGTGATACAGAAGCTGATGTGGCCATGAAGGAATGGAATATGGTTCCAAATGGTTCACAAATCCAGCATCATCAATGCAAGTACTTTTAGCATCTCGACCTCTTATGAGAATTTTAACAGACTGGCAAAATGTGATAGGGTTGCCTCGCAAGCCACTGGCGGCATCACAGAATATGTTTGAATTGCAACTGTTTTAATTGTTTGGCAGCTCTTCAGTCAGGTGCACAAACAACCGAACTTTTGGACATAGATAGTTCCTCTGAGATTCTGGAAAATGGAATTACCAAGCTGAACACCATACGACATTATGCGGTAAGAACAAAAATCCTTAATAATTTGAAGATCTCTCTTTTGTAAGGACAATCTGGGATAGCCCAGTCGGTAGAGCATGAGACTCTTGATCTCAAGGTCATGGGTTGAAGCCCCATGTTGGACAAAAGATCCCCACATTGCAGGGAATTGGATTAGATAACGCTTGTTGTCCCTTCCAACTCTAAAATTCTATGATCTTCCATGATCTTCTCAAATACTGTATCTAATAGTTGTCATATGGTCTGGACCAGGATTCTCTTGCTAATGCCATCACATACTTCATGTGGGTCTATAGGAAGTCACTTAAGCTGCAGTCCTGTACATTCTTTCCTGGGAGCAAATCCCATAGTACTTGTGAGACACAGGATTGCACTGTTAGCCTAGCTACATTTCCATGCACATTTAGTTGAAAAAGCATTAGTACTGAGTGTTTATAAACAGTAAATTCAAAATGAGAAAAAAGGGAAACCTTTGCAGGCCAAATGTAAATCTCATCAAAATAATGACCAGTCAAAAGTTAAGCTTTTTAAAGCTTGTTCCTAAACCGTTTCCAGCATAATCAAAGGGACTTAATTGGTCACAATCAAGTGGTTTCAATTGTATGTGCAGCACAAGTCAAAGTCCCACCAAGTTCAGCATTCTTAGTTATAGCTGCTCTTAGTTGGATTGGGGTCACTAGAATTAACTGAGTCTGAGGCAGAACTTTGTGTTACCGTGTTCTTTCCTACTGTGGTTTGGGGAAGGAGATCAGTGCTGGAACATCTGCTTAGCATGCAGAAAGAAGGTACCAAGTTCAATCCCTGGCCTCTCCAGGTAGGGCTGGGAGACTTCCCTGCCTGAAACTCTGGAAAGCCACTACCAATCAGTGTAGACAGTACTGAGCTAGATGGACCATTAGTCTGCCTCAGTATAAGGCAGCTTCCTATGAGTTGCATCTACTCATTGCCTTTCCAGGTGTCTTGCCAAGTACACAAAATTTCTCCTATGTTCCCTTTAATTTGTTTGATCCAAGATGTTTTCAAAGCCTTACTAAAGTCCTGGAATAGTATATTCCATTTTACACTTTGTCAATGAGGTTTAGCACTTCATCAGAGGGAAGTGAAATTTGTTGCCATGCTCTTTCCCCATAAATCCAGTTGAATTCATCTCAAGTACTCACCCACAAAATACACAACGTATATTCTTGTACTTAAATTTTTATTTACCCTTTTGTTAGCCCTGTGCCCCTTGAGATTAGATTTTATTTGGAGCTATCTTTACTTTGTTTTTGCTATCTTCATTTTGCCACTGCTTGGCTGTGCTACGTGTTCTTTTATTTGGGGAAAGCCCTATAGCTCAGTAGTAAAGATTATGCTGTGCATGCATAAGGTTCCAGTTTTAATCACAACCATCTCTAGTTAAAAAGATTTCAGTCACAGCTGCCTGTGATTTGGAAGAGACACTGCCATTTGGCCTTGGTAATATTTGACTGGATGGATAAATAATCTGATAGTAAAAGACAAAAACAAACCCAATTTTTCCTGTTCTTCGTCTTTCAGTTTTTGTAAATTTCCTGTTTCAGGTCATCAAACACTTCATCAGTTGAACAAAATCTATTTTTCTTGCACTTCCTAAATCTTGGTGTAACTGCAGGATTCTATTGGCAAAGGATAAGCTTTACACTGAGCCTGGCTGCTGCACTTTTCCCCATTTTTGGAAGGCATCCTATTCTGTGCTAGTCATTTCAGTAACTGAGTAGCAATATGGAAGCACTGTGTTTTCAAACACACAGCATTCAACTGCTGAGCACTGCAGCTATCAGCTAGCTAGATTACTTTTGGACCCATTATACAGATAACAGTCTGGCTCACCAGAATGTTTATGGTTTTAACAGCCTTTGAGCACTGTTTTGGTTGGAACTCTTAATCCAGCCATTCCAAGGTTTTTTGTCCCACTTGATTAATGGGAAAATCTGGACTGCATGCTTTCAGCACATAGCTCATGCATAGTGGAATGTGACCAGTTTATGCCTTAGCAGGACATGTGAACAGTCATTATGATACATGTGCTTTCAGATAAGCATGTCACATTACATTAAAAAAAAATACTGCACACATCCCAAAATATAAGGCCCTTTAGGAACGTCAGCCTTTATAGCATGGCTGGCTGGCTGCTTCAGAATAGAAAAAACCCTATAGCTACTCTAACTTTGCACTTGAGAAGCCTCAGAGTGGGGAAATGAACACAGAACATAATGCATTCTTTGACCTGTGCTGTGTATGGGACTGTGCTGGCTGGGAATAAAGTAACACGTCACATGCAGTGGATTGCATGAACTTTGAGGAACCGTGTAGTTTTTGAAAAAAATGCATATTACAAAAGCTGTTTTATTTCCTTTTCAGATTTCAGATGGAGCAACTATTAAAATCTTTAAGAAAAAACCGGATCTATCAGGTACTGAAACCAATACAAGCCTGATATATATCATTGTGATGGCAGGATGGGGGACCCTTCCATAGGTTGTTGGACTGCAACGCCCACCAGCTGCAGCCAGAAAGGCCAATGGCCAGGGATGGCAGAAGTTGTCGTCCAGCAACATATGAACAGCCACAGGTTTCCTGCCCCCACTGTAATGGGCTTTATAGAGCTATGAGTATATAGCAGACCATTTCAACCATAGTTCGGAAGCAGCCGTTTATGCAAAGGGTCCAGTTTTATGATCTATAAAAAGAATAAGTTGAAGAAACTCACAAGGATGGGGAACCTGTGGCCCTCCAGCTGTTATTGGGCCACAACTCCCCCCCCCCCATCTTGAACTATTGGCCATGCTGGCTGAGACTGATTTCTACTTAATGGGCCACAGGCTCCCCATTTTGGAATAAGCTCTGATTAGTCTAAAAGAGCATTAAGCATACAGCCGGATGCTTCAGGGAAGCTTATATGTAGGTCAGAAAGATGATAATACCCTTTTTTGTATGTTTGCAGAGAATATGGAGAGTCCATTTAAGGCCAAAGTAGACAAGGCACAAGAGAAATTTGTAATTTTACACATTGTGAAATCAGCCTCATAGTTCGGATTGATGCAGGGTTGGTTTCACGAAGGCAACAGAATGCTACAGCAGATGTTTCATTCTGCTTTTCTTCCTGCTCCCAGAGGGCTGGGATGATATTTTGTGACAGAAGCTGGCAAAAGGGAGCAGTAAAGCCAATGATACAGATAATTTATTTGGCCTGTCTTCTTACTGCACAGAGTGGTGGGAATTACATTGTGTAGTTATTACATTTATATCCCGCCCTTCCTCCCAAAGGAGCACAGGGTGGCAATTACACAACCTCAGGGTCCTGCACAGGAATATAATTAAACATGGATTACCTGGATGTCCTTTCTTGGCAACTGCTTAATCCCTTTCACTGTGTGCATTTCATTCATTCTCTCTTTCCCCCTTTAAGCATGTTTCTCAGATGGGGAATACCCAAACGACTATTGCCATCTGGTAAGTCAGCAGTATCTGACAACTAGATGTTTTTGTTATATATTATTGCCTCCCTTAACCACTGCATGCACATTTGTGTATACCTTTCTTACAGATATTACCAGATTCCGAAGCAGCCAAAGATACACAGGGTGCAAAACACAAAGGAAAACAAAAATTTAAAGTGAAGGAAATGTATCTTACTAAACTTCTTTCTACAAAGGTAAGTGCTGAACTTTATTTAAGGCTAGGCCAGAAAAGATAAGATTAAGAAGCTTCACAAAGAGGCAGCAATTAACTGATGTAACTTAAAAACACGGAATGAGATTGTAGAACCTATATAGTGACCACCTATAGGTCTTTTTTTCTTCTTGGCACATGCAGCTCAACTGGGCTTCCCCATTCATTTACATGAAAAGAGCTGCCCCTCCCATTGAGATGGATCTGAACTATAAGAGAACACTGAGAAATGGCTTTTATACATTGCGATGGTGCCAGTCTTGAATGGGTGACTGAAGAGTGTTCAGCTCCATTCTTGTTGCACTAATTGTCCTTGATAGATGGAGCTCGTTGTTTTGTTAATTTACATCTCAGAAACTCTTTTGTCTAAGCAATAAAACCATTGTTTTTTTTATTTCTTTCAAAGGTTGCGATTCACTCAGTTGTTGAAGAGCTGTTTAGGAGCATTTGGACTTTACCAAACAATAAAGCCCCAGTTGCTGTCAAGTATTTTTTTGACTTCTTGGATGCTCAGGCTGAAAATAAGAAAATTACAGACCCTGATGTGGTCCATATATGGAAAACTAACAGGTATATATTTACGAATGTGCTTCATGTAAAACTCAAACATAATAATGCACGAACTGGCAGCATGTTCAGCAGTGAAGGGCACATTGGGACTATACTATCAACTGAGGACATGATTCTTTATTAGGCTGCTAAGTTGCATGAAGCACTGATGTTAAATTACTTTTAGTGGGATTAATAAACTTTTCCTGAAACATTATTAATTTGAAGTTTGCCTTTTCTCTTGCCAGTCTTCCTCTTCGCTTCTGGGTGAATATACTGAAGAACCCTCAATTTGTCTTTGATATTAAAAAGACTCCACATCTTGATGGCTGTTTGTCAGTAATTGCACAAGCGTTTATGGATGCCTTTTCTCTATCAGAGCAACAACTGGGAAAGGTAGTATCTCGATTTCATATTTTACACACCCTTTCCTTAGGCGATACCTTCCAAACCAATTTTTCCACAGTACTGTCCCTACTGAAGGCAATCATTTTACTCCAGACCATTCTTCTGTAATTCAACATTCACTCCACTTCACATGCATGCCCTGAACTTGCAAGAACTTCAGAGTGCTTTGTGGGATTAGATCCATGCACACTAAAGGGAGCTACATTGTTAATGAGCCCCTATCTGGCATCTGGAGTTGTGTGTATCACAATCCTTGCTGCATCAGGTTCACTTAATAGACGAAGCTGTGGGAGATCAAGTAGTTTACATTTAACACACACACACACACACACACACACACACACACACGATAATGGAACCAACTGTCTGATTTGCATACAGGAAACATATTTCCTATTTTAAAGTTTTTTTTAGGTTAGTGCACAAAAAAAGTCAGAATGGAAATTTCAGAAGTGCTAGATTTATCTTTCAGGCTTCCACAACACTGCTTATATTTTAATGCTTAACCCTGTTTAAAGTTTAAAATTTAATCCAAAGATGCAGTTCCCTTTGCAGCTGAACAAGTGGCTGTGGTTGAAACTTGAAAGCTACCCCAGAGGCTTCCCTTTGACTTGTAATGAACTGGTGCAATAAAGTGGTTTCTTGAATGACACATTTCTGTGACACCCTGAAAACCCAGCAATACTGTTTTCCTGTAGCGTTTCTTTTTCTTTTGGTTGCCTAGTTATGTAACCTACAAGGCTGAACAGAGACCACTACCAGCCATGAATTGTGGCTTATTAAGTGCTTGATAAACCTCCTGTTCTTTGCTGCCCGCCTGGGACTATAAGAACAGGAGGCTTGTCACAGGCATGGCGTCTCACTGTATATGGCTAATGCAGTTTTAATTTGGAAGCCTTTTTTAGCACCCTCCTATTCAACACCTGCAATATTAAAAAAAAATGACAACAGAGAACAAAACATGAGGCATAGTCTTCATTACTCTACATGCACCTATCTATACACTGTGGGTAACCTTCTTTCAAGGGACCCAGCTGTCTGACCGAGCTGGTGATAAATGGGAAGTTGCCCTTCTTGATGTTCACTCCACAGATGGTTGTCTTTTCAGTGCCAGACCTTTTTATTCTCCCCGGCCTTTAATATCCTTCTTTCTTAGCCAAGGGGCCATCACCAAATCATACTGTAATAAAAAGGTACACCACCAAAAATGTAACTAAAACAAACTATCACAATCCATTGCAGCATTCAGAAACCATTTTTGTTAATAAAATGATAATAACTGTAACACTATAATTCTAACCCTCACTACCAAAAAGGGGCCTTTAAAATCTGAACTGCTGTACAGTTTTAATGCTGTAAACCTGCCATTTTATTCTGTGCTTTAATTGTTTGACATTGCAAGGCAGCCTGACATCATTTATATTGAAAGATAGTGTATAGAAATTAACTGAATTTTCACAGGAATCCAAAAAAAATTTGCAGCATAGCTGTCACCATTTATAACAATAGTTGTCTTTTGTTTTCTTTTTTAAAGGAAGCACCAACAAACAAACTTCTCTACGCGAAAGATATTCCACTTTACAAAGAAGAGGTTAAAGCTTTCTATAAAGCAATTAGGGATTTACCTTCATTGTCCACTTCGGAGCTAGAAGAATTTTTAACTCAGGAATCTAAGGTATCATTTCATTGTCTTCCCACCTATGCAGAAAGTATGGCGACATGCTGTGCCTTGGCTGTAAAGCAAGAATTGGCCTCTTGAATGAGAAACATCCCAATGGTGCCCTGCAGACACTAGTAATGTTTCTCCCTCACCTTGCATATTTATTAACCCAGTTCCTAGAGCAAAGATTGTGGCCACTGTGTTTCTCCCACAATGCTACTGAGGCATTAAGCCATAGTTTGGCACAGTGTTGATGTCCAAACCTGTAGATAATACTACAAGCCTAGATTGGGACATAACACCCGTGCAGTAGCAGGCCCAGTAAAGTATCACAGTGGCTTGATCTTCACTCCAGAAAGCCATACATCTGCTTGCTTGCACACAGCCATGGTTTGGCTCAATGTTGTCTGCAAGCCATGTCATTATTAACTATTTCATATGTTGTTAGCATTGTTTCACCAGTTTTCCTTTCCCCCTCGCAGAAACATGAAAATGAATTTAATGAGTCTGCAGCCTTGACTAAAATTTACCACTACATAGCAAGATATTACGATGATGTAAGTTCCTCTTCTTTTCACTCCCTCTCTTTCTCTAGTTACCAAAATGTCTATTGTATGCCCTTTATCTATACTACACTGTGCCTGGGGCTGCAAAACTTCTGAGTGGTTGACTGAGGAAGTCTGTAAACATTCAGACCACTTTATGAGCAATGTGCAGTGCACAGGTACTTTTTGATCAGGAGCTAAATATACAGCTTGGTTCATGTACATGAGCAGGCCGCAGGTTTGACACAAAAGGAAACAAATCAATATACAAGAGGAGAAAGTGCTCACATTGCAGATGGAATAGAAAACTATGTATTGCACTTCCCCTACAAAACAGAATTGCAAAACTTGATCAAACCATGCTTCGCAATTCTCACTTACAGGGAAAGTATAAAAAATAATTTGGAAGTAGCAACAAACTATGTATTGCCACAAAAGAAGTGGGGTGAAGTAGAAAGCATACAGGACCACATATTAACCAAGCCAGAGTTTCACATTACATCCTAATAAGTCATATATCAGAGGCCGATTTAGGGGAGTACAGCTAGTTCAATCACACTGGGCATGGAGCTTCAAGGTCACTAAAACTACAGTGGTACCCCGCAAGACGAACGCCTCGCGAGACGAAAAACTCACAAAACGAAAGGTTTTTTCGTTTTCGAGTTGCCTCGCAAGACGAATTTCCCTATGGGCTTGCTTCGCAAAACGAAGCTTGCCCAGGGGACAGCGGGTCTTCTCTTTTGAAGCAAGGGGCGGCGGGGAGAAGCGATCTTCTCCCCGCAGCCCCAGGTCCGGGGACAGCGGGAAGCGCTTCGCGCTGCCCCCGGACCTCTTTTGAAGCAAGGGGCTGTGGGGAGATCGCTTCTCCCGGTGCTCCAAAGCTGGGCGGGGGGGAGGGAACACCTGCCCCCACCGCCCGGCTTCGGAACGCTGCTCCGAAGCGGGGCGGGGGGGCGGGAACACCTGCCCCAGCCGCCCCGCTTCGGAACGCTGCTCCGAAGCGGGGGGGGCGGGAACACCTGCCCCAGCCGCCCCGCTTCGGAACACTGCTCCGAAGCGGGGCGGGGGGGCGGGAACACCTGCCCCAGCCGCCCCGCTTCGGAACGCTGCCCCGAAGCGGGGCGGGGGGGCGGGAACCTCTCACCCCGCCGCCGGGCATCGGAACGAGGTGTTGGACCTCTTCTGAAGGCAGGCGGGGGCAAAAGTCTTTGCTCCCCCCGCCTGCCTTCCCGGGACAGTGGAGACTTCTCCGCTGTCCCGGGCGATCTTAAAATGCTGGCGGGCGGGAGCGAAGCGTTCGCTGCCGACCCCCAGCATTTTAAAATCTCCTCGGGGCAGCGGAGACTTCGCTCCCGCCCACCAGCATTTTAAAATCGCCCCGGGACAGCAGGGGCTTTTAAAATGCTGGCGGTCGGCAGCAAAGCCCTCCTGTCCCCGGAGCTTGCGGGGCGGGAGGTGGGAAGAAGGGCTTTTCTTCCCACCGCCAGCCTTCAGAACAGCCTTCTGAAGGCTGGCAGTGGGAAGAAAAGCCCTTGTCCCCCCCCCCAGCCTTCAGAAGAGGTCGGGGGACAGTCTGTCCCCGGACCTGGTCTGAAGGCGGTTTCCCTAGGAACGCATTAATTGATTTTCAATGCATTCCTATGGGAAACCGTGCATCGCAAGACGAAAAAACCGCAAAACGAAGAGACTTGCGGAACGAATTAATTTCGTCTTGCGAGGCACCACTGTATGTAGAATGGAAGGCAGGAGATGATTGAGCTTACCAGCTTTCGGCATTGCACAGGTTGCTGCTGAAATTTGAGGCCCCAAGGACTGCCACTGCATGTAAGCATGTCTTTTTACTATTTAAAGGTTACTTGAATGTTTTAATTGTAGAACAGTTCAGCTTGTATATTATATTTAAACCCATTTATTATAATGTGCTCTAACAGCAATATGCCTATATATGTAAATAATCAGTGGGTTTTAAAAAAAAAAAAATCTACAGTGGTACCTCGGGTTACATACGCTTCAGGTTACAGACGCCGCTAACCCAGAAATATTACCTCGGGTTAAGAACTTTGTTTCAGGATGAGAACAGAAATTGTGCAGCGGCAGTGGGAGGCCCCATTAGCTAAAGTGGTGCTTCAGGTTAAGAATGAACCTCCGGAACGAATTAAGTACGTAACCCGAGGTACCACTGTCAAATTATGTAAGGTAAAATAAAACTTACTTATGGCAATTTTAATAATGAACAAACTATCCCGCATGTCAGGGGTAGTGGCTTAATGAGTTGTGTCAGGCTAGTCAGAGCTGAACAGTTAACTAAGGATTAGTCTGATGAGAACAGAGGAAGGGGTACCTGATAGGACCTGAAACAGGAACCTTTACCCAAATTAAGCAATACGATAAAAAAAAAAAGGAGTGACCAAGTCTCACTAAAGTTTATTGTCATAAATACCTGTTTACTCATCCAAATTCTAAACACTTTTGATGCCACATATAACTGGGCCACTCCCCTCCCCATTTCATAGCTTCCAAAGTGTGACTGATTAATCATCTTAGTATAAACATGCCCCTTCAAATCACACCCTATTCTTACAGCTGCTGAAAATGTTTCAGTCTGTGGCTTTGGAATAAAGGATGTGGTCATCTTATAGATACAAATTTCTGTTTTGACCTTGTTATGCCACTGCTACCATTACATAAATTTGGGCTTGCATTTGCTAAATGTTTGTGGTTTTTAATTTAGATAGCTCTTGTCAGAGGAAGTGTTTTATCTTGTGATTGACAATAAACTTATAAACAACAAGATGCATAGGCTGGCATTAGAAGGAATGTGGTTTGCTCAAGCAGAGCTACTGTGACACTGAAAAAAATGTGTTAAAATAAGGCTGCACACATTTCTTTTGTTTCTATAGATACTGAATAAATTGGAGAAAGAACGAGGGCTGGAAGAAGCACAGAAGCAGCTGCTGTATATAAAAGCCTTAGCTGACGAAAAGAAAAAATGCAAGTGGATTTCAGATGAATCAACTGCTCCTTTACTAAGCTAGTATGAACTTTAAAAACTGCTACTGCATTCAAAGCATCAAGTTCTCCTCAAGCATTAGTAGTCTACAGCAACTGTAAGTCCAGATGGGAATGAGCATCGCTAGCTGCACCGAAGACCGCATCTCAGAGAAGTCTGGATAAACATTACATTGTTGATGTAAATATGCAGCCATGCGCATAGGACTGGAAGCTTGCTGCCATGTGCAGATTTCCCTTGCCAGATCAAAGCCACTATGGGAAGCAAGATGCTGCACTCAATAGACCTTCGGTCTGATGCACCAGGGAGAATCTTACATTAAGTAATTTTGGCAATGTTTTAACCACTTTTGATGTGGGGGTTTTTGTTGTTTTTTTCAACTTTTTTTAAAAAAGGCCCTGAGCCACAAATCTATAAAAACAACCTGCTTGCATTTCATTTTCAGCACAGTGCTCCAAAGGCCCACTTGCCAAAATGATTTCCTTACCTCATTTAACTGAGACAGCCTCCTTCTCTAAGTTCCACATGAGCACAAACATGCAGTATGTTCCAGATGCTTGGGTGCGGCAGCCTTAAGAAGCATAACCACTGGATCTAGGAGGCCCAGCCTGCTGAAGTCATTTGCAGCCTTCCAAGAAAATAGTTTGTAACCGACGTGGAATGATATGGGACACTTTACATACCTTCTTGTGGAGAAGCATGCAGAATGGATTGGCTGGCTCACATCCCACTGGAATTTTCAATTGCTATAGCTGTGTCCAGCATTATGTATGTTCTAAACATTTCTTCCCCCTGCATAGACAATAGATAAGTTTCAAAACAAACTCAGGGACCACTAAGTATTAAGGTATTTTTAATTGACTCTTCTGAGGCAGAAAAGGGTGCTCTTGATTTTTTTTGTACCTGCAGTTGTTTATATTTTTTTTAATGGTAAATGGAAGGATTATAAAAATAAATTCTACATAGCTTTGCAAGTACATGCATCACGTTTTCCAGCTGGGGTAGCTACAGTAGTACACACAAGCTTTCATGGCCCACCGTCCATTTTAGCAGAAGCATGAAGTGTTATGCCGAGTTGGCAGGTTAGAAATGCTAGAAGTGCAGACTGTGACAATCAATGAAATTAATACAACTATCTTGGCATTGGGAAGCAAATTAGCAGGTCACTTCTGCAGGCAATACAAATGAATGGGAAGAGTCACAAACAGTGGTCAACACTATAGGATAGTTGTCTTACCAGGAACAATGCAGGTATTTTTTCATGACGGAACTGCTTTGTAAAGTGCACCTCTGATATTAACCTCTACCTTAGCTTATGAAACTCATGTAGGTGTCAAGCTGTGTTGTTGCTTGTAGAACCTTTGATTGGCTTGATAACCGTAGTATCTTGCATCAGTCAGAGGAACTAAATAGTGAAATGAAATGAAGTATTTGTGACAATCTGCAGATGAAAGCATATTATAACACTTATTGTAAACTGCGTAAAACAATCAAAACTTATTTTCAGACGTATGCAGGTAAATATTTCATCTGATCATGATACATCTAATAACTCCTCTTCTATGAAAATGACGTTTGTATAAAATGCATTGATGAAAAATACATTGGATATTTACATGAGATGTTTATTTCAAATACAAAGTATTTGTTGTTTACTTTGCTAACTTGTCTTTTTGTTTAACTTGAAGTGTATATATAATTAAAACGACAACATTTCAAAGCAACTCAAAGTGAGAACACATGACAGACTTTTATAGCTAAACCCCTGCTTTACAAAAGGAAAAGAACAGTGTATCTCTACTCAGCCAGAGTGGCATGAAATGACCTTTTCTCCATACCTCTCTGGTCTCTCAGCTGGGAGGTTTATATCACAGTTTTTGAATACTGTAGTTGCTAATGCAGGTCATTGCCATTAGCAAGAGAAGTCCCACTAGCCTAAGGTTTGTTTTGTCCTTCCTCCCCTTCAGTTGTGGCAGCTCTGGACGAGTACTGGGAGTTTCAGGAGAAGTTATACTACACATATTCTCCCTTCTTCCCCTACCAGATTGCCAAATTGCAAAGGAGGGAATCACTGACTGAAGCCAAATTCTTCCATGTAGCTGAACAGCCATTTCCGAGAGAGGCTGGGTGATATAGCACCTCTTTTGGCCACTTTGAAGATCTTGCCATGTGAGGCTGTGAAATGACAGTACACATCAAAATGTGGCCCTCACCAAGTGACTAGTAGACCCATTTGGTTATGCTCTAGGTTTGGCAGACACCAGCATGATTGTTCTGTTTTACCAAAAGCATCAGAGTGAAATACAGACTCTGGAATCTGTATACAATGAACATGCAGGTCCCAAGCTATGTGGCACAATGACAAGTTGGTAATATTGCTGCCCCTTTGCTACCTTGGAAGTGTATAAGCATTTCATATCAGCTCACGCTAGGCCTCTGTATTACTTAAGTGTAAAGCATCTAATACAGTGAGTGAGTTGTGGTGTTACCATCAAATTGCTACACAGAATGTGACATAACACATCCTTAGCATTGTTAGGCCTGCTATTTCTGGAATTTGGCTGGTATTCTATACAAAGCCATGGTCTGACTTAAGATTCCCAATTTATATGCATAACCTGAGAAAGAAGGCCCAGCCTTATTCAGAGCCAAACAAGTACAGTGACACAGTTGTTCTAAAATAATATATCCTGGTGCATTAAGTATACCTTGCATGCTTTCTAGACCTTATTGCTGCCTTCTAATATTTGCAGTTCAGCATACATGGCACTTTGTATTAAAGTTACATACAGCATATGAAGGGATCAGAGATTACCTGTGAATATTCCTTTTACTTGTTCATCGATGATTCAGGAATTGAGGTGATCTCTTCATCCACCAGACATCAGTTTGTTGAGGAAATCTTCCACTTCTTCCCTAGACCCAATTACTCAAGACATAGCAAAAATTTACCGCAGCCCAAAACGATAACCATAGCTTTTGGATTCTCTGTGATTACCTGATAGTTTTAAGATTAACCAAACTGCTTGTGAAAACAAATTTAATGAATTGTCATGCAAGACTGCTTGACAAGAGTTGTCGATTACAGCAGGAAGGGGCAGAGCCACCATAGTTCATCTACAATCAGTGTTGAGTCTGTCTCCAAAACTGTAGATTATTTCATATCTGAAATAATATCTAGAACCACCAGAAAAATGACCGTTCTTCTGCATGGCTTGTTCCCCATTAGACACAGAACCCAAAATAGGTTGGCATTAGGTGAACAGCATGAAACTCTGAGCAACTTCCAACACATATGCCATCACAAAAGCGGTATTTTCACTGTTGCACGAAGAAAAGGAACTAGGTGCATTTTTAATTATTTGCATGGTAATCAAGGGCACTTAGGTAGGAACAAAAAACCCCTATATTTTAATTATCTACCCCTATATTAAAATAAGAAAATCAGTGCTCTTACACTACTGCTGCAAGTAAATAACACACAACAAGGAAGTAGATTTTACAAAAATATATTATAATAAATAGATTTGTTCACCTTTTTTGTTAACAAACAAAAATTGTTTTGCACCGCACACATCTCTCGGTATAAAGGTAAAAAGCATATATCCATAATTCATAATCATTTTAAAATATTGATTACTTTTGATATCCTTTATAATCATATTAAAGTGCAGATAATAAAGTACTTTATAAAGGCAGAGATCATATTCCCAGAATTTTACCTGCCTTTAGTTGTTCGGGTTGTTAGGGTTCAACTAATAATGTTTTGGGTTGTTTCAGTATTTTTAATTACATGATGCCAGCCTTAAGCTCACAGTACTGATGAAAGATGGAGAACTTCATGATCAAACTGGAAAGGGGGATTTTTCCACACAGCTACTGCACTCCCTAAGTGACTTGAGAAAAGTCTTGTTAGAAAAAAAAAGCTTTAGTGCAACATGATGGATCTCCTCCTATAATCTAAACTAGAAGAACTCACACACACAAAAACCCACACATTTTTTTCTTGAATTCTATTGCTGTTGTTGCTTTTAAAAAACAATTAAAAATATAGAAAATTATGCAGACTATCCTCTACTTCAAGGCACTTCTGGGTGTGTTTTTGGCAAAGGACAAAAAGTATATGATGCTTTAGAGTCAAGTGTTTATTTGGCATCCCCAGCTGGTAGACCATACTCTTCAACAAGCTTATGTCTATCAGAGTTGGAGTCCGTGCTTATTACTGACCGAGCTCGTTCAGTAGAGGCCTCAAGCTCTTGTAGCTGTTTCCTCTGGGTGGTTTCTAGTTCTTCCAAGCGCTTGCGAAGCAGGGAAAGCTCTTTTTGATGCTGTTCCTCCTTGAAATTAAGAAGCAACCCATTATGTTTAACATTTAGAGAGATATTCTATGACTAACACTTTCATTGCAATCTGATGTTGTGCTTGTTATCACCACCTTAAACCATCTCTTTGAGAATGCCTATGTAGCTTATCACCTACCGGCAAGAAAGGGAAGGATGCCTCTGCTCCAGGTATTGGAGTTGAAGACAATAAGCCTACTTGATTCAGCACTGGGATGTTGGGAAACAAAATTAACCTGCGGAATTCGTTATGTCTCCGCTGCAAATCCTTTAGTCTTTTCTGAAGGCGAATATGTTCTTCAAAAGGAACATTCTGCCTAAAATAGTCAAGAGGTGAAACAAACAGGACATTGTCTTCAAACATGCAAACTTTACCACCAACGCCATCTCAAGTGATGCAGCAAAAAATTCATTTTGGAAGCAATGTTAAACCTTAAGTAATGACAACAGTCGTTTTGTTTCTGAAACGTAACAAAATTCAAGAGCAAGCAAGATCTCAATCTACCTATTTAGCACCTGGTTTTCTGTTTCCAGTTCTTCTCTCTTGGCTTCCAACAGCTCTATCTTCTCCAGTAACTTCTTTTGCTTTTTGTCATTAAGTGTCTTCCTCTGCAAATAGGGCAAATGCTATGTATAGTTAGAGAAACAAACATTCATTTGATTGTTGACCTCCAATGCAGCATACCATTTTCTAACCCATATGCTCTAATTGGAGTCTTATCCCCAAATTCTCAAATTATGTACATATATTCATTGGGAAGGAGGTACTTAATACTGAGCACATCAACCTACTTACAATAAGAAAAATAATCAAGTATGAGGGAGGAAGCATTTGCGAAATTGGTGTTTTTATGGGGGGGGCGGGGACATATCCATTTGGAGTTAACTATGATTACCAAAAGAGAGACAACATTATTGTCATTTTATTACAAACATCATTTGTAAAGTGGGAAAGGCTAGCAGGAATGATGCAAACAGAGACCCTGACTGAAAAGATATGTTTTGGAAAGAGGAACAGAAAGAACAACACATCCTACTAGGAGGACATCAAGTAGTGGGACAAAGCCTTCTGCTTCTTTCTCTCCTCAGTCACTGAAATTCCCTGTTAATTTATTTGGTGTGGAGGGGGAGAGGGAAAGAAAGGTCGCTGGTACTCGGCAAAGCTGTGAAAATATTTCTGCAACACTTGCATTTTTCCACAGGAAAAAAATATAGCTACATATTTTAAAAATCTAATTAGCTTTGGTGTGTAGCTGTTAATATCTATCCACAAACAAAAATTACCGGTAGATGTCACAACTAGGGTTGTTTCTCGATGCTATCACAGCTTTTTTTTTTTTTTGCCATTTAAAACACAAAAGCTTTTAGCAATAGAGGTCAATATTTTGTTTTACAAATTACAAACATTATGTTGGCTACAATTAGAATCCTGTTATAGAAGCATAATTTTAGCTAACCCAGAATGAAAAAGCTTCCCTCAGATATATGTTGTAAGTGACATGCCTTTTTCTGAGCAACTGCTGCCCGGTGCAATTTTTCTTTCATCTGGTTATACTTCTGTTCTACCTCTGTAATACGCTGAATAAGTTTATGTTTTTCTTCTAGCCATTCAACATGTTTGTCTTCCAAATTTCTGGAGGGGGAAAAAAAGCAATTGTTGCTCTTGCATATCAAATCCACAGTTAAATCACCACATTCATGAATGCGCTGAGTATATCGAACATGGCTAAATGAAATCCAGACGTACCTAGAAGGTATGTTTCTTACAATTCCATAAACAATGGGAAAGGTGATCTGAAACTTGCAGGATGTCAAGTGCTAAATCAGCATTTACAAAACTATGTTGGGGCACTTCTATATGGCCTTATAAATGAGTTAGTAGAAGTAATTAAAGGCTCCTGTGAGTCCAAATATCCATCGAGAGAGAAAATTGACCATCATTTACCAGGCTCTGGGATGCTCTCCTGAGATCTCACAGAGCTGCCTGAGTTCCTGTTAAATCTTGCAAGAGCATCCCAGAGCCCAGCAAGCATCCAGAGATTTTAAAAGCTCTTTCTGCACCAGGAAAGCCCAATGCAAAAGCAGTTTCAACCACCCAACTTTCAACCATTCAAGACTACAATTGTGCAAGTTAATTGTGTGCAAGATGTGATCGTACTGTATTGTTTTTATTGTGAGTTGCTATGAGAGGCAGACGATAGATTAAGAGGTAACTAAGTACATGGCTATACGTACAGGCTACATTCACACTTAATGGAACAAGGTAAATTACTTTCCTGCTACAGAAAAGGCATAATTAGTTAATAAATCTTTATGTCACAATTCTACCTAGAGAGTCTATGTGTTTTTATGGCAACATTACATATATCATCTTAATGTGCAGCACATTCCTATGCATGTTGTGCTTAATTAGGCTTACTTCCACATTAGTGTACATGGGATTGTATCCAGGTTATCAGTGCTATCAAATAAGTAGTGAAACCAAGACATACGGTAATTAATTCACATTTCAAATCTATCATAATAGAGAAAATTCACAATACAGGCAACTGAACCCAAAATAAACATCTGGGGCCATTTACTCTCCACAGTACTTTACTTTCTTGAGACAACAGTAGCAAAATATTAAAAATGAAATCATACTTCTCTGAATCTAACTGAGCCCTTTCTGCTTGACTTCTCGCATTCTGACATTCATGTTTTAATCTCTCCATCATTTCCTTCAGTTTCTGATTGGAAACTAGCAAGTTATTCTCCGACTGTGACAGAGAAGCCACTTGGAGCTGCAAATCTTGGATGCGCTGCAAAAGAAACATAAAAATGATCAACGAAATCATTTATCAAAGCTCTAGAAGTCCCACCAAACAGCATATAAGCCCTATGTACACATCACTCAACTGTAGCAGTTACATGTGAGCAATAGGAAGTGGAGCCATACTACAGGACCCAACCCAATGTGCCATAGATCCTATTCCCTGTGCAATTACTGCAGACGTCTGCAAATGAGTGCCTACTTGCAGTCAGTTTAAAAAGCCACCCCTGAACACCACTTGAAAAGCCTCCATCATTTCTCCAAGCCTCTCTGGCCTCCTCTAATCACCCTCTCCAACAACCTCTTCTGCAGCCAAACACTCACATGAAGGCTGCTGGCCATTTTTTCCTGCTCCCCTGCACCCCTCCCCGCACATGCCAAGTTTGTGCCATTTTCTTATTTTTCCCCTGTGTGCCATTTTTGCATCTCTTAAAAGTATTGTATTATTTTTCAGTGATATGCATACAGCTGCAAGTTCGTATATTAAATAAACTGTGGAAGTTGTTTTCTCAAAGCAGAACTGGAGGTAAGTTAGCACCTTCCACAGAAGGTGCATTAAAGACAATCTAGCATGGCCTGGAGCAAGAAGGAGGAGTCACCTATACAAATTAGTCCCACAGGAAAACAACTCTAGTCACCCAGTGTTAAGTGTTTGGCAGACGTGTTGGGGCAAAGAAAGTACTTCTTCACACAGCACATAAATAACTAACTTCCAAAATTCACAGCCATAAGATGTGATGATAGTCACTTTAAAAAGGAACAGGAGAGATTCATAAAGAATAAGACAACAGCTACTTGGCATGATAACGAAACAAGTCTGTTCAGATGCAATGCACATCTGCATGCCAGACACTACTGACAAGCACACCTGTTATCATATGCTGGTTTCAATACAAGCTGCTACAATTAAAGCAGGAAAGTCATGTGATCTATCTTGAGAAGATGACAGAACATGATGTTGAATCCTTACCCCCTTTAGATTAGCATTTTCACTTCTCTCTTTTTCAAGCTCCTCAGAATGAATAGTTTGCTGTTGAATCTTTAGCCTATAAATGAATACAAAGTAGGATTTGTGATTTTTAAAAAGTCTACACTAGATTGACATTTTTAAATTAAACAAAATCTGACACAAGAGTGGAACTATGGAATTAAATGGAGATTAGCATTTTGGAAAGAGACTCCACAGCATTAACTTTATATTTATCACTTAAATAATTTTTATCCTGCTCTTCCGTCAAAAGAGGTTACCAGAATAGCTTATGAATGTGATAAGACTGTCCCTCTCTCAGGCTTGGATATATACCTAAGACTAATTCAGCAGAATATTCTACACAGAATGCACTGAGCATCCAATGGAATGTTTTAATAAATGGTGGGTTAATATTGATAGCTGTTGGAAGTGTGGGGGCCAGGGAAACATTTTGAAACATATATAATGAAAATGTCCAGTAACTGCTGAATTTTGAGAACTGGCTAAGCATGCTAAGTCGGTCCTAGGAAAATGTGGAAAGTGATCTTATGGAGTGATGATATTATGAAACATCCCAGCTCTTTCAAACTTGAAGGAACAAAATGCTTAAGATTAGAACGGCAAAACTGGCATTTAAATTAAGGTAATTATTGCATATTGGAAATATAGTATAAAAACATACATTGATACCTGGACTCTAAGAGTTAAGTGGATTTGAGTATACAAAGAAGAGGTATAGACATTTTTGACAGATAAAAAGTTTAAAAGGCCACAAAACTGAAGACCACCTGCTGCTATGCTTGACTTGAATTTCCCACTTTTCTTTTAATCTCTCCTTTTCTTTTCCTTGTGACCTTCTCTTTGACTCATTTGATTTTCTCTGTGTTGTGTGCATCAGAGTGTAAATGGGTATGAATTCATGGTTGAATATATAAAAAGTTCACAAGACGATCCAAAGTTCTTAACAGATAGAATGTTTAGAGAATATTGAAACTGGAAAGACAAACTTGAAGGGCAGGAGAGAAAGGATGTTGAGGAAATAAATGGGAGTAACAATGCATGTATTGAGGACTGGTTCCAAACAACTTTTAGTGATATATGTTTGGATAAGATATAATTAAAAATATATATAATACAATAGTTATCAGTTTCTTCACTGTATTTTATGGCGTATTGTGCACATATTGTGTAATTGTGAACAAATGTAGAAGTTTCAAGAATAACTTTAGGCAACAGCATGCTTCAGCTGGCAAAGAAAATGGTGCAAAACAAGGGTCTACCAATTAAATATCTATTTCTATAAACCCATTTCTGGAGAAACAAAAACATCTGCCCAGCTTAGACACAAGCAGTGAAGTGTCAAGGGCTTTGTTCAGCAGGCAATAACACTTTCTGATATAAGTGTTAAAAACTCCAATTCCTAAATAGAATTAAAACCTCTACAAATTACCTAAGATCCTTGATTTCCCTTCTGCTGGATTCTTCTGCCACCTGCAGAGCAGATAACTTTTCTTTGTACTCATCCTTTTCCAACTGCCTCTGAGCATCTTGCTCCACTTTGATTTTCTCCAGTTCAGATAATCTGGCTTCAAGTTCTAACCTGAAACATTATGGAGTGTTTAAGAGCTGTGAAAAACAGATTTTTGTTTTTTAAAATCATATCACAAACACACATATATAAACATATATATGTGAGAGAGAACATTTCTACTTGGCTGGCATAGCTTCAGTGTTCCATGGTTAGTGCAGAAACAGCAGAAGCTCCCATCCACAGATTTCATAGCCAGGTAACAACTAATTCAGTAGCTTCCTTGGACAGGTCAAGAGTGATTTCAGAATACTGAAGCAATGTGAGATGTGTTTAAAACACCCTGTCCACTGTAGCAATAGCAACTAGCAGCAGCAATTTTATAGCTGGAACATAATGCACAATGACTATATTCATAGGCAGGGAAGTTGCTACAATTTTAAACTCTTTTGGAGCAAGGGAAGAAAACATACAAGAACATACTTACTTTTCCTCCTGTAATGCTGCAAGTTTTTGGAAGCCTTCTTCTTCTGCAGCTTGTACTTTGCGTACTAATTCACGATCCTTTTCTATTAAAAGCATCTTGTGCTGTTCAAGTGTTTTCTTACGTATTTCATTATCTGAGTGTAAACCTGTTTTTAAACATTTACAGTATTTGAAAGCTCTGAAAATCATTACACAGCTGATAAAACTGAATCTGTTGCTCACTCACCTAAGCCACCATTCATTTTTCCTACAGTCAAGTACAACTTTGCCCACAACTTTCCCACTACTTAAAGCAGTGTAGCTTTAGGAAGGTATTATAGAATTAGGCTAAGAACCTTCAATGAATATTTACTTAGAAGTAAATCCCACTGGGTTCAGTGAAGTTTACTCCCAAGTACACGCACACAGGATTGCAGCCTATGTCCCACAAGTTTCAGAAGGAAGGTTAAGTTTCTGTTTAACTTTCACCTGTGGGAAAATCAATGACATTTAAATGTGTTCAAACTTCACCAGAAATGCATTCCACATGCATTTACAGAATTAAAATTAGACACTATTTCTACTGGCATTAATGGGAGCATCTAAGTATAAATAATCATGAATGGATAGTTACAAGGTGACAATTCTCATTTAAGAGAGGGTTCACACAATTATTGCAATATGAGAATATATTCATCTTTTACTTTATCATTAAAATGCTACAATATCCCTCCAACCCCAGAAAAAGATCACATTAAAAATGTAAAAATTAAATATTCACAAAGCTATGACAGTTATGGCAAAAAGTCCCCACTGAATTTAAGAATTACACTAATTATATCCATGATTACTTCTGTTACGTCAGCTTACAGGTATATGAGCACATAGCTGGGTGCAGTGGGGGCTACATGTTGGACAAAAACCATGGCAGCTTATTGAAAGTGACACATTAAAATGAAAGTATCCCAGCGAAAGGGATATGGCTGCATGACAGTACTTACTGGACTGTTCTAAATTTTTCTCAAAGACAAAATTCTGTATCTATAATTGGTGGCAATAACAAGTCACTGAAGTAATAAAGTTTTACCATCTATTTCACTTTGAATCTTGTTTCTTTCTCTTTCTATCTCAGTCCTAGCTCTTGCCGCTTCCAGCTTGATGTTTGTTATTTCTAACTTGTGTGAATGCTTAAGTTCTTCAACCTATAGAAGATAATGTTTTATCAATTTCCAGTTTTGATCAGAACAGTTTTTTGCCTCTTTCTGCTCAAGGAGGATAAAATCATGCAAGAATCCCTCCTATCTTCTTCTGGATGAAAGATTCTGAGGTTTTCTCCTACTTCCATAGGAGGAGTTTCCCAAGCTAGAAATATGGTAGCTGAAATCATTTATGAAAAATATTTTTAAAATGGTAACCATTAAAAATACACAGTCTGCTCTGGGTGTCATCGCCAAATGAGATGTGGCAGGGAAATCACTAGGAGCAGAGCCTTTTCAACAGTGGCACTCACACAATGGAACACCATCCCTATAGAGGTCTGTCAGACCCCAACACTATATTCTTTCAGGCATCTTGGGTGCCTTGGTAGAAAGGTAGTATATTAAAGATAACAAATTAATTTCCAAAGTAGGGAATTACAGGGGGGGGGGGATTAAAAATAGACCATAAAAGCTTTCAGGTTATGCTCATCAATGTCTGACCAAATAGGGGAATCTAGTGTCATGTACCTGTAACAGACTGCATTCATCTGAACAGCACCTTCCTTACACCCAATTTGACAGGAGCTGGGTTCTCCATCTCTCTTTTGCACACACAAATATTATTTGAGAATTCTTAGATAAAATTTCAAACAAATATTAATGAATACTGCAATCTGCTATTATATAACTTGCAACAGATATTAATAAGAACTGTGACTAGGTAATAACTGATACACATGTACACCTGCTACATATATACAACCTGTAACAAGGCACCTCTGCACATGAAAACTTTCTGTCTGAACCAGGGCTTGCTTGCATGCACATGCTTGTGCACATAGACACATGCAAACCAATTTCACATGAAAAACCTATTTCCTGGAGCTATGCAAATTAGCGCCAAGTGGCTTAAGCATTTAGGTCAATGTTTAAATGAAACAGTCAACCTCATTTCTAATAAAAATACTATACAGCTATGTGGGAATACAAAGTTTTTCGTTCATTTATGAGCACTGCTGAGAAATGCACTCAATCCATTCCAAGCTGTGCTGATCAGTTGGGATACAATACCTGCAGGTACTGCTATCAAAACAAATTCAGTTATCTGAACATAATTATGCTCAAACCTCACTATGTGAACGGCTGATTCAGATATCCAAACAGGCCATTTGTCTACTTCCTTTGTTTGTGCTTTGCTGGTCGGCAGCAGCCATTTTCAGGCAGAAACCATGGTGGTGGTACAAGGAGGGAGAGTGGACAAATCAAGAGAGCAGGAGAGACTGGACAATTCAATTTTTCCTTTGTCTCTCTTCTACTAGTTGGCAGCAGCCATTTTAGGAAGTAACCACGGCAGTACAGGGAGAGAGACCACAGATTAGAAATATTTCCATAGCAAAAAATGGAAATCGTCAGCTTGTTATGCGAATGCTTTCTAACAAGTGATTTCCTGGGAACACATTTTGTTCAGAAACTGGGACCTGCCTGTAGTACTATCATTAAGGTGTTAACATAAAAGAGCATCCTTAAAGGCCAGCATTCAGATGTCTAAAACATCTACAGTGTTTTAAGAGATTTTAAAACAGACACACAGAGGATGCACACAATTTGGCAACTTGCTCTTTTTACTGAGTTCAATGTTCTGCGAGGCAATCTGTCACCTTGACAACATAAGCCTTCATGCTAGAGAAGTACTAGTCTTAACTATGCCATTAAAATCACTGGCCTGGTATAATTGGCTCAGTATTATGGCAGATCATCTATCTCCTATATGTCACTTGCAAATAGCTAACCTTGGAGAAGAAATTTCAACGTGCTTCATCACAAACCCAACACAATGTAAAACCGAAGCAGCTGTCTTCCTGCCTTGTAAGTAACAATGTTTTTTCAATAGAAAAATCAAAACATTGAAGACAATCATTGTCTGAAATGAACCGAAATTCTAGTTTAAACTTTCCTAGTACAGTAATTACAGGGTTGTTGAGAATTAAGCAGTAGGAGAAAGCGCTTTTCAATGTCAAATGTAATCACAACCGCCAGTGTAGAAGCTACACAAGTTTTAATAATTAGTATTTGATTAAGCAACTACAGTTAAGACACTGATTTTCTTAAAGTAAAAAGGAAGCTCCATTTGTCATTTACCCATCACAAGGTTTGACCACATCCCTTCTACCTGTCCTCAATGGTTATTCTAGTTAAAAATGTTAGATTTTGTATCACTGCTGATCAGGATCATATGAAGCTGCCTTAAACCAAGTCAGACCACTGCTACATCTAGCTCAGAACTGTCCACAGTAATTGGCAGTGACATTTCAAGATTACAGAGGGCTCTCCTTCACCCTACCTGGAGATGCATACAAAGCACACCTCTGAGCTATTGTCCTCCAAAACATCTTGGAGATCCTTTTCAGTGGTTTCCTGTAGGGCTGAGCAGTATCTGCTTTCCAATATTGCAATACACCACCAGCTAAATATCACGATATGGCGGCATATTACGATGTTGGAAAGGAGGTGGGGAGGAAGAAGGCAACAGCCAGCCATGGAGACAATTAGTGTCACTGTGCACAGCTTCTGCCTGTTCCAAAGCCGCTGCCTCCTCCAGTGCCACCCACATGTGCTAAGGCAACTTGGCACAGGTGGGGTGTAGGTGGCCTGCCTCTTCCTCCAGGAAAAAGAGGTAACATGCCCACTGTGCATGAGCTGATGGGGGGGGGGGGAATTGACCAGTAGGGAAGTGGGCTTCCTTAATATACTTCCTTTATAAAGGTAAAGGGACCCCTGACCATTAGGTCCAGTCGTGACCAACTCTGGGGTTGCAGCGCTCATCTCACTTTATTGACCAAGGGAGCCGGCGTACAGCTTCCGGGTCATGTGGCAAGCATGACTAAGCCGCTTCTGGCAAACCAGAGCAGCACATGGAAATGCCGTTTACCTTCCCGCCTATTTATCTACTTGCACTTTGACATGCTTTCGAACTGCTAGGTGGGCAGGAGCTGGGACCGAGCAACGGGAGCTCACCCCATCACGGGGATTCAAAGTGGCGACCTTCTGATTGGCAAGTCCTGGGCTCTGTGGTTTAACCCACAGCGCCACCCGCGTCCCTATTATACTTTCTTTCTACTTAATGTTAATTCTCACAATAAGACTTATTCCACACTGAAGTAGTTGCAGCTCCATTCTCTATCATATGGATGCCTGGCTTCTTTAATAATAGCTACTGCTGCAGGTATCAGCGTACATAGAAGGCCGTTAAGATGAAAGATCACAGTTTATCATTTCTACAATCTCCAACAGTCATCTTGTGGTTACCCAGTTTCTGTTTTTGTGCTTCTGTGCTTTAAAACATAGTTTCTATTTTGCCCTCACGGAAGGAAGAAAACAGAATAATATGAGGAACAATGCCTCTAAGCCATTTACATAGCTGCAGGGGAAGTCTCCTGCTCTAACGTAAGAAATTATTTGGGAATATGCTTACTTTAGGCTCAAAATATGTAAATATTTGAAAGCCACTTTCTGGGCGCATGACACTCAGCAGCTATTAATGCTGTTTATCTCTATATTGTGGTAAATATCAGGTTAAAAGTGGCTCCACCAGAACAGGAAACAATATGAAATGAAAGCAAATATTTCCATTCACTTTACCAGCTACTCCCCCCCAGTACTTTTTCTCTGTTGCCACAGTCTTTGACCCTGAATACATCAGGTTCCATTAACCCATGTCTCCATAACCTCTTGCTTCTACTTGCATTTTTCTACTTGTCTTTGGTTGGATCCAGACAAAGTCAATTGCACTTAGTTCCCACTAAAATCAAGTCCCATTGTGACTTAAGCACAACTATCTTAATCTGGATCCCATCTCCACCCCTTCTCTTTAGGCAGCTTAGACTCGCTGCAAGACGTCTTATTTTCCCCCCTTTCCCAAACAGAATTGAGATGGAGGGGGAAGGTGCTTTCTAAGAAATAGGCTGTTATCACAGGTGAGATCTGGCACAAGCTTCAGGCTGAGAACATGAAACTACAATTCTCCCCATCCAAGAAATAAAAGCCCACTAACATTTAAAGAGTGAGAATCTTGAGATCGCAAGCGAAAGTACTGGCTATTTAGATTAACTTGATCCAGCAATTTCTTGTTTATATACCTATTGAGAAGGCATGCCTTACATCTTAACAACCAAGGTGGATTTTTTTAAAAAGTCACTGATCCCACTTTCACATGCAAGGAACTTCCACTCATGCAAGTGCTAATGCCCATGCAGCCATGTTATCACTGGTCACAGTAAAACTGCTTCTGGACTATCACTTCAGTCTGTACATGACTAAAGCAGCACATTTATCCTCCACACAGAAAACAAGCATGTCAAGGAAAAGATTAGGCCAGAAGTTCTCTCTCCGGTTTGCTACCTCAAGTAACTAGTTCTCAGAGTTGATTAGTGCTGGGCTAGACCAACCAACAGTCTGATGTGGCATAAGACAACCTCCTATCTTCACAATAGTAAGTGTTATTAAATGTGATTTGTGGGTGTCATTACTGCTTTAGGGAACAGTGCCAAAAACAAAATGCTATGTTTTCATGCCAACAGAAAAATCCAAGGACAATAAGAACATGGCTTTTCAAGCACTGAATTATGAAAAAGGAGAGAAATAAAGCCGTGTAACAGAGACAATTTGTCTCCAAAGATACAATTAGTGATAATGGTTCTGGTAACATCTCCAAAAAAACTGTCTTGACAGCATCAAAATACTTACTTTAGTTGTCAAGGCACTGATCTCTCGTTCAGCTTTATGTAGCTTGCTTCTTAAGAGCGTATTTTGCTCACTGCTCATCTGCAGTTCCTTTTCAATGCGTTCAAGCTGCAGCTTAAGGGATTGTTTTTCAGCCTTAAAATTAAGAAAGGAAATCTTAAATTGCTTCACAGAAATGAATCCTGAAGCAGAGTTCTAAACCTATTTGCACAAAAGTAAGGTTCCTTCACTCAAAACCTCGCCACCTGGCTGGGACTGATGCACTGGTTTCAAGAGGCCAATAAAATCAGTACCATTACTTCTAGTAAGTAAGCATGTGAAGTCTCAAATTTTTTTGGAGATCTGTGGGTCATTTTACTTACATTAACATATTTTAGATGGTTAGCTTATTTGCTCTGAAGTTAAATAGCTCCCCTTGGAAGCTAGGGCTAGTTCAAGCACCAGAACTACATCTCGATATTGCATAGTTATAAAATGCTCAGGTTTGGGGCTGGCAGCTCTTCAGCAACATGGAGCACTGCAGCAGAAAGGGGGAAGGGAATGTCCTTTCTCCCATCTACCTTCCTAAAACAGCCTCTCTCCCTCTCAGACCTGAACAGGAATATAAAGCTCGTGCACCTATTTTATTTTTAAAATTTGTATACTGTCCTTCATCTGAAGATCACAGGGAGGTTCACAACTTAAAAATACAAAATGAAAACACAAAATGCATAATTAAAAACAAAAACAAACCAATGATCATCTCCCACAAAGACATTTAAAAGGGCAGAGAATGCTAAGCAGCCAAATGCCTGGTTGAAGAGAAACATTTTCACCTGCCGCCTAAAGATATGTAATGAAGGTGCTAGGTGAGGCTCCTTGGGGAAAGCATTCTACAAACAAGGAGCCACCACAGAAAAGGCCTGTTCTTGTGTTGCCACCTTCCAGACCTTATGTGGGGAAGGCACCCAAAGAAGGGCCTCAGATAATGATTTCAGGGTCCGGGTCAGTTCATATAAGACACATTTCTTGAGGTATTGTGGTCCTGTCTGAAGCCATTATCATGGAACGGCTTTTATAGGTGGGGATAACACTGCAGCATTGCCCTGCAGACCCCATTTATTCTCTCTAATTGGCACTCAACCATATAAAATTGCTATCAGCTGGCAAGCAAAACGGGGTCATAAAAAATAAGGAAGTGGTTTCTATTTACCCAGACATCTCCCCAGCTTCACAGAATATGCAAGTTGCATTAAGAGCCTGACAATAACCTGTGAACTTCCTGGACACACACAATGCTAGGGGATCCTTTGAAGAAAAAGAAAATAGGAAACTGAAGGTGGGGGAAGAGGAAATTGGTCTACTCAAGCTGCAAACAGCTTATAGAAAGTACTGCATTTTCCCCTGTATAAGACTAGGTTTTTCCCCTAAAAAATAATGTCAAAAATTAGGGGGCATCTTATACTCTGGGCCATCTGCCCCATTTTCTTAAATCCGAGTCCCCGAGTCTTATACATGGGGGCGTCTTATAGGTGGAAAAATATGGTGATCTGGCGAGGGGTGATTAGAATAGGGAGTTGGGTTTTTTTAAAAAAACAAAAAGCTTACATTCCCGTACTATACAAGTCTCCTGAAATGCCCCCTCACAACCTCTAGTCTCCTAATAAGTCTGAACAGTTGTATAAGATATTGTTGCTGGACCCATTTGTAGAATTTGCTTATTGAATGTTTTGGACCTTAGTATATTATTCAGCTTATATATTTATTGTTTCTACAGACAGGTTTGTTTACCAGAGTAAAATATCCTTCCACTTTTAGTCTCATGTAAAAAGTTCAAACCTGTAGACTCCGCAATGATTATTCCAAATATCATGACTCTGATATCACTTTGTAGATAAATCTGTCATATTTTTCAGAACTACTTTGCAAAAAAGTAATCTTATTACTATTAGGGAAATGTGAATCTGATTAGGAAGAATCAAGCTCATTAATGGCTTGATGTGAGTTTCTCATTGTTTAAGTTAACACACAGTGTACACCTTTACTATGTCTTGTAGGGAGACAATCAGAATCTCCTACCTCCAAGGATCGTGTTGTAGCTTGCATCTCAGTTAACTGTCGCACCTGTATTCTTTGCACATTTTCTGCTTGCATACCAGAGTTCTCCCTCTGAGCTCTTAGTTCTGCTACTTCTGCTTCAAAACCCTTTAATTTCTGAACTAGTTGAGCCTTTTCTCTTAATAGTGCTTCCACACGCTTGCCATCTCTTGTAGGATCAATATTAAGCAGCTGATTATGCAATTCTTCTTTATCTTTGCCAAGTCTCGTTATCTATGAGTAATTGAACAGACAACACTATGGGCCCACTCCAGTCTGAGTGTGATTTCAGAAAACCCAAAAGATTCAATGATTCCTTGCACCAGGTGCACACACAACCATGTATGCAGACGGGAGGGAGGGAATGAGAACCCACCTTGCACAAACCATGTTCCTGTGCTTGGAATTGGTCAAAGTGTATTTAAATATAACATTATGTTAATAAGCCCAGAAGTACTAGAAAAGCACATAGAAGTAAATATATTTGTTCTAAAATGAAAACACATTTTCATTTCATTCAAAATAAGCAATACATTGGTAAAAGTAGCACTATGTTTTATAGACCATGTTCCTCACAGAAAAATTAAAGTGACAAAAATGTGTCCCCTATAAAACTGGAACCAATAACACACCTGAGGTAATTTTTTAGCCAGGAAAAATATCAACACATTTTCTAATATGTTTTCACTTGATTGAGAACAGTAGAACAATGAAATATGCAATTAGTTCATTATCACAACTGTAAGGCTGCAGACCTACACACATTTACTTGGGAGTAAGTTGACTGAATGCAGCAAGACTTACTTTAAAGTTAACATATGGTAAACTGCATATTTCCTCCTTTTTCTTGAGACATTCATGAAGCAGAAGGCCTGACTGATTGTGCTTTAGGCAGGGTTCAAATTTATTACGGTTGATTAAATTCATATTCAAATGTTATGGTTTTTCTTATATTAAAATATTCTTCCTTACCTCAGATTCATATTTTAATTTGTTCTCTTCTAAAATATGGGCATGTTCTTCTTTCTGATGCTCAAACTCTGATTTAAGGAAAGTATGTTCATAGCGAAGTTTGTTATATTCTGTTCTCCATTTTTCTGCTTCCTAATTAAGAAGAAGAACATATGTGACAATTGTTAATTGTTTTTGATGGCTACATTTACAGTTGCATCAAAAGAAATACAATAATACTATTGGTTGGCTTAAGCTCCAGAAGCAATGGTGAATGCTCCTTGCCAGTGACTATTGCGGTAGTGGAGTCATATTGCCAGGAAGTGGAGAACAGTTGAGATTAGGACTGTGCTATAAATCAATATATCAAATCATGATAACAATTTTTTAAAATGACTTTGCAATTTATCACATATTGTGTGTGTGGTATTAAAAAAATCACAATATTGGAAAAACCAGGAAGCCGATGCTTCTTCCTGTGTGTGCAGCACTTGCTAACTCCACCTCAGTCAGCTCTTCCCTGCCTCCGGCAGCAACAAGAAATAGCTACAAATCACTACAGCAGGCTGACTCAAATATTGCCCAGCAGATATCACCAAACAAAGCTTTGAAAACCGGTTAGCAGTCACTATCAGTCAACCTTCCCTGTCTTATGCAGGAGGAGCAATTCACTACAAATTACTACAGGCTGAGTTAAGTATCGTGAAGCAGATATCGCCAAATGGAACTTTGAGAAATGGTTAGCTCTCTGTCTCCCCAGCCATCCAGCCAGCAAGCAGGGACTTCTTCCCTCAAGGCTCTTGCTTAAAGGCGCCAGGCTGGTAGTTGACTTAGGGAAAGCCTGCAAGGTCCAGAATTCTGGAGCCCTTTCCCCCCAGTAAAAACAAATGGGGGCTAGTAAAAACAAACACCTTCCTTTGGCATTTGACCATCTTCTGTCATTCCCCCCTTCATTTGGATGTGCGTACTGCTTTTGGGTGTGCGAGTGTCTATGTGTGTCTCCCCCCCCCCGCCCACATCCGTTGGTGGTATATGTGGTGCATTTGTTTTTGTGAAGCAGCAGCCACCAGTCGGCAAAAAACACTGGGTTTTTCAACCAAGGATATCTGAATATCTAAAAGTGTGACACTGAATTTGCTTTTTCTTGTTTAGTAATGTAATTAAATTTTTAGGGAAGCTTTGATATCTATGCTACTACTTTACTAATTACAACTTTGATTTTACAGAAACTGTGCTACTATTGGTACAGTAGTACTATAGCATAACAGTTGTAACAATATGTTAAGTAAAAAAAATTCAGTTTCAGAGTTAGACCCATAAGTAGTAGCAGCTGCCAGGACATTGCCATGTTCACCTCCAGCCTTATTTCACATATTGTGATATAGTGAAATATCACTATGTTTAACTGGTAATATATCGTTATGTTGAAAACCAGATATCGCCCAGCCCTAATTGAGATAGCCTTGAGCCACTGTCAAGAGAATCCTGTTCTTTCTCTTGTTGTTACCTTTAGTCACTGAAGGGTTGTACTAGCCTCTGTGACTCTCGTGGGTCCAAAAGCTTAATAGTGCAGTGGGTAAGATCCTATCTCCAGCCTCTTTAATCACAAAACAGGAGGAATTGCATGGTTGCATTTGCATGGAACACTAACCCAGTTTTAGCATGACATAGGTGAGCCAGACTGTGCCTGAGCAAAACAGGCTTACACACTACACTTTCCCTCTATTATGTAGCCAGGGAGAGGACTTTATCAGAATTTAATTTCACTTTTTCAGACATTTGCTTGCTGTTGTGTTCAACCAGGGAAGCTGAATTAAAACAAACTGTTATGCTTCATGGCAAGATAACTTCGATCCATGGGTCTTTAACCTCACCTTGTTATTTAACTAGCTTATATTTAAATGTTATCAGAAAGAAGATAAACACTGACCTCTCCTGTCCATCAAATAAGTAACAGTAGATAGGAAAATATATTTTGGTTAGAAAAATTGTAACTAATTATGGAGCTAGCTGACTAAGAATATTTTTATACTTTGAAGAAAAGGCTGGATATAAAACTTTCATTTCATAGAAAACTTTGTTTCTACTTACTTTATCTAGCTTTCGAAGGTTCTCTTTCAGAGGTGCTTCTATGTTGTCTCTTATTTCTGTTTTAAGCAACTCTAACTTCTGTGGAGTAATTACCTACATGTCCGAAGAAACACATAAAAAGAAAGTAAGCAACAGTTTCACCATTTGTCTCTATGAAGATTATGCCGCCACTTAAAAGATCTGGAGTTCCCCCACCTAAGGATGGAAAAACTCCAATATTATCCTGTTATGCTGCATATATTCCTAAAGTACTGGAACTGGCAACAATAAAAAGGTATAGGATCTGTTTGAACACTGCTATTACAACAAGGTTTTCATCACTGGGCAACTGCCAAAATGACTCAACGAAAGGAAAATACAAACTAAATCTACAGTCTTAAACATACCTGGAAGTAAGGTATGTTCAGCTCAATGCAGCTGGCTGGTGAATAGACATTTATAAAACGGCACTGCACAATTCCTAACACAGATCAAAGGTAGATGCATATTTATTATAGTATACAGTCTACCTAACTAATAAAAATTCAGTGTTGAGACACAGTATGAATAACTAGGACTATGGAGACAGGTACAAATCCCTACTCAAGTCATGAAACTGACTGGATGACCTTGGGAACTTGTCTCTCAACCTACTGTAAGTCATATGGTTGTTCTTAAGATAAATGCTGGGAGGGGGGGGAGGGAGAGAAACCACTTAAGAGATTTCTATGAAATATAAATAGGTGTAAAAATTAAATAAATAAATAAACTCCATAGCTGCCGTGAGCTGCTTGAAAGAAGAGTGGAATTATTAATAATATTCTCAAATTCATGAACATGTGCTAGGGAAACATTTTAATATGGATGAAATATTTAGAAAGGCATATTATTTTTAGCAGTGACCCTTCACAGCTTTGGAATGCCCTCCCAAAAACATCTCATTATTATAATTTAAGTGCAATTCATGGTTTTCTGGGCATTTTAGGACTACTAATTTAAGCATTCTTTAACTTAGACATGAATGATTTTACCTTCTACTTAAATTGCCTATTGCTGTTTTAGTTTGCATGCTTTATTTATGACTTTATATTGTACTTCAATTCTTACAACTCTTTTAGCCACTTTAAGAGCATATATCTATGTAGAAGAAATTGGATATAAACTATGTACCCAAATAAGTAAATGCAGTATCACTCCTTCTTAATGTCCTGTCCGGAAACCTATGTCCCCACTGTGGAAGGACGTGTGGATCTAGAACTGGCCTCCACAGTCACTTATGGACTCGCTGTTAAGACCGTGTTCATGGAAGACAATCTTACTCAGCTACGAGTGATTGCCAAAGAAGAAAAATAAGAGTGTACAATATTCCAGGAGAGATAAAATTTCTTGACAGATTATCTTTCACACACCCTGCCCTTCCTCCAATCAACTGAGAAAAACAATTTAAGCTGGGCAAAATCATCTAATGGATCAGATGCTCCCTGCAAGCCATTACAGTCATACCTTGTAAGCTGAACGGAATCCGTTCCGGAAGTCTGTTCAACTTCCAAAATGTTTGGAAACCAAGGCGCAGCTTTCGATTGGCTCCAGGAAACTCCTGCAGCCAATCGGAAGCCACACTGGATGTTCAGCTTCCAAAGAATGTTTGCAAACTGGAACACTTACTTCCGGGTTTGCAGCATTCGTCAGCCAAAATGTACAAGTGCCAAGGCGTTCAGCTTCCAAGGTACGACTGAAGTAAAAGTGCATGTCATGTTCCAGACAAGTTACATGAGTCAAAGGGGTCTTTAAACGTCTTTTGAAATGGCAGCTCCCATGCCTCATGTCAAATTTATTTTTCAAACTGAGCAGAGTATGGCATGGAGATATTTTGAATGAAGAGAAAAACAGTCACAAAGTACTCCTACATGATCGAAGCCACTGGTCTTCAGCCAGTGGGCTGGGACTCACTATCAGGTCATGGCTGATCTAAGGTGAGTCACAGCAGCAGTACTACCACAATACAAATATGTGGTAAGAAAAGTAAGAACTATACCCCCCAACTGCAATTCTTTAGATACCAGTCACAGTTTAACAAGAACACCAGACATGATTAGCAATGTAGATTAAGACACTGTGTATGAATAACGTAACTTAAAAGAAAGAATTGTGGCCGCACCTGCTTCTTTAACTCCTCTACTTCTCTTGATTTATCCAACAATTCATCTCGGAATTCACCGAGCAGACACTGAAATTTATCATGAACTGTCTGCTTTTCACGTAACAACTGTTTGAGCTCATTTTGTGATTTTGTATATTCATTCTGAAGCCTGAAAAAAAATCATTTTACAATGTATCTGCTTTTCAGTTTACTGATCTATATCTTGGCACATTGAAGATAAGAGAGAAAGGAGAGGAAAGGGGAAGTAGGATAAACAGGGGAAGCATATCAGTTCATTTCAGTTACACATACTTAGGCTTAATTACAGCTAATATGACACATAGGGAGTTGTGCCAAAAGACTGCACAGAAAAGGAGAGATTGAAAGAAGTAAGAGCAGCAACAACATGGAGGTGTTCTGAGTGGCAGCTTTGACGTTTTCTTCCTGTTAGAAAGTTTTTTATACTGAAAATGCTAATACACACAAACACAAAATCAACATTGTACATATTTTTAAATACACTAGCACAACAATACAACCCCCACTTTGTGGTGGGCTGGGGGGAAGTGGATTGGATGCAAGTCCTGGCAGCCTGTATCTGGCACAGAGTTCCACTCCCACCTGCCAAAAATGTGGAAGTGCCATTAGCAGGATTCCCACTGGCAGCAACCAGTGTAATCTCCAAAACAGAACTTTCCAGGGGCAGGGCTGAACTGGCCTGGGATATGTTGGATCCTAAGCAGGCCCTACTACAGTCACATGATGGTCACCTCCAGGTTGGCACAGTAATCTGCCAATTCTCCACCTTCTGTGCAGGAGAGCTGTATCTGCCACCCTTCTACTCCATAAAGCCCTACCAAGCAGAGAAGAGTTAGAATTGTTCCCTAAATAACTGAAATCTCAACATCCCAAGAAATTGAGGCCCAATTCACAGAAACCAGAAGCAATACAATGGCAAAGTGAAACAGAACTGCATGGAGGCTGCTCCATTTGGCAAATAGTTTGTGTGCTTTTGCCAAGCTTCAACAGTACACTGCCCATACCGGCCAAAGAAATAATGTTGGGCAGATGGAAGAGCTGGTTGCCACTGCCTGAAGGCAACGTCCAACAGCACACATGCCCACCCAGTATGTCCCCTCTGGAAATACCAGGGCACAGAAAAGGACGTCACTGTGTGAAGGTGCATTGTGTATCTTTGGGCAATGGTGCCTTTTCCACATTGAGGAGGGAATACCAGCCAAAAATTGTCTACACATCCCTGGTGGCTGCGACATAACCATGCAAATCCACCTGTTGTCATCAAGTTCCTGCAAATTGGCCCCCACTCCCCAGTAAAAGTTTGTAGCAGTGTGCTAAACTTGAATACTATTCGTCTAACTACATCTGATTAGTACTGCAACTAGTTTAGCTATAGAAAACTTACATTTTATTTTCATGATCAAAACATTTAATTAAATAGCTCAACATCAAAAAGAAAGCAAGCATACTATACCTTGTATGTTCTGCTTTAAGAGTTTGGTAATTGTTTTTATGGTGTTCACACCGCATTCTTTCATCATTTAACAGTTTTTGTACTTCTGCTTGTGAGCTAAGATCTCCACTTCCACCGACTGATGAAAGGATATGTGGAAAAGTGTCCATTCTGACTGAATGTTAATGAGATGACAATGTTAATAAAGCTGTCAGCACAAGCCTGCCACCGTCATAGAGACCTCTTTCTCTCCTGAGGGAATCCCTTGAGGCCAAATTACCTGTACAAACAGAAAAGCACCCAATTAGTAGTCAATGGATTCATGGTTAAAAAGGCTCTGCTTTGAATACATGTTCAAAAGCTTCATTATTTCTCTGACAAGGGTATCTTTGAAAATACATATATATAGTGTGTGTGTTTTAATCTGATTTCATTCTCAAATCAACCACATTAAACAAAGTTAATTTATGAAAGCACTGCATAAACTTCCCCATTACCTAAACCATTTTTTTCTTTGGGTGCAAAAGTTCTGTTCCCGCAGGACTATTTACTCTGAAGGATTATACAGAAGACAGCCAAACTGTGCAATATCCTCTGAGGATAATGCATCCCACTTTGTGACAGATGCAAGTTACAACCAGTATAATATTCAACACTTTGCCTGCATTGAGTGCCTTGCTAAAATCTTCCCTGCCATTGCTAGGCACTAAACTGAAGCTACCAATGGTTTTAGCTATGCGATATGACTAATATTGTTTTGTAAAACAATTAATATTTGGTTTATTTGACACATTATGCCTAAACTTATTGAGGAAGAGAAAATAATTAATAGTAAAAATACAAGCCTTCAGGCTTTGGCACAGGATAGGCTATAAATCAAAACTAAGCACAAACATTAAACTAGTAAAAAGAACTTTACACCAGAGCTTAAAGCATGCCCACTAAATAAAATTTGAGGAGCTGGGGTTGCCAGAAAATGTCTTGCAATTAAAAGGTCAATGGATTTGAAACACAAATTTTAATACTTACAATAAAGTTACATGCTGAAAAATTAAATACACATCTAGTGTGTATAGGTGAAGTTTTATTTGTTGTATGATTACTGGGTGACATCCAATAGTGTAAGTCTGCTTGCACAATGGGATTTCTCCTACCCTGCACAGCTCCCCAAAACAGATGGGGGGGGGCGAGACTAAGTCTCCTCATTGGATCTCACCCTGTTTTTAAAAGATTCATTTTTCAAACCATATCTTTTATTATTTCTGTTTTATTATTATTATTAACAGCCTTGATAAAAGATACCGGAATAAATATTAGGATAGATGCTAATTGTGCAATATAGAAGACAGTAATCCATTTGGATTATACTGACCCCTTGTGGTTAAGTTTCCAAATGCTTATAAAACTGTGAGCGGTTATTTCTAGAGAGCTGCTTAAATCAGTGCAGCTACATTGCACGCAACTTTTAAGAGCAGCAGAACTAGAGCGGTTAGCCAGTATTACCTTACGAGCACCTTGGCGGTATTTTTAAAAAATCCCTTTGGCCGGTGAAACTATCTAGAGTGGCATTACTTTACAGTGCTTTTTTTTTTTGTAGAAAAAGAGAAACTCACCGTGAACGCCTACCTTATAATGGCAATGGCGCCCACCTGAGAGGCGCGGGAACAAAGTTCCTGATAGCGAGGAAAGAAAAGAAAAAGCCCTAGATGACAATATTCCGTGTTTCGTCTCACTGGGACTGGGTTTTTTTTTGGGGGGGGAGACGCCGGTCTTCCTTCACCGGCCTACCTCAGAGGGCCGTCGCGAAGGCGAAAGGCGGGCGGGGAAGGGAAGCCTCCAGCCCCCCCGCCAACCCCCACGAAGGAAAGCGGCTGACCGACCCACGTCGAAAGAACGAGAACCGCGAAGCAAACGGGCAGCGCCAACCGCCTGAGGAGCAGCCCTGCCCCGCCGGCCCAGCCCTGCCTCCTTCCCTTCCTCGCTTACCCGCCACCTCAGGCGGGCATCGGTTGCCTCGGCTGTTTAAAAATGGCGCTTCGGCTCCGCTCGCCCCGCCCCTCTCGTTTTCCGCTGAGCCCTCCCGGGACCCGTATGCTCGCCTACCATTTCCATTTTGTCAGCTGGCGCCCGGAACCCACCGGACAATATCTTCGCCAGCCCCGGGGCATCACGGGAATGCGGAAGCGTGGTTGCCACGATGCAATAGATGCAAGAGGCGGGAGGCGGCGCGCGAAGGCAAAAGTGGGCGGGGCTAATCGTGTTAACCCTTAGCTTGTCCGTTTCTCAGGAACGCTGCTTGATTACGCCCAAAGTAGAGACCGTTCTAATCGGAGGAGGCGGTTCTTGCGTTCTTTAAAAACGAAGTGCACTAACCTTTGATGAGAGGGAACCAATACTTCAGGTGTGGGGGGCGGGGAACGAGTTTTAGGGTACAGTCCTGACTGACCCCGCTTTCCCAGGAGTCAGCCCCATGGAATTAATGAGCTCCTTCCCAGCAGGCACAAAGCTGTTAAATTTACTTGAAACAAAGCTGTTCGTTCCCGTTTGGTAGCGTTTTCCTAAGTTTCAAGTGGTCAGGAAAAACAAAAGAGCTGTACATGGTTCATCCTGCAACGTAACTCGTTTTCACATCTCATGAAAAGAAGAACGCACGCCATTCACCTGTTTTGTACTAATCAGAGATACAGATTTGTAGTTAGAATTAGTCCCCCTAGCCACAGATATGGAAAAGGTCGTTTTGGAATGTACTGCAATGTTTCCCCAGACATGAATAGTGCAGTCAAAATTTTTTGTTTCCATACAATGTTAGTAGGGATCAAGCTACTGAAATAAAAAAATAAGGTCATATATGAAGATAAAATGTTCATAACGGCATATATAAACCACATGTATGAAACCCCACAGAAAAAGTGCTGAAACCATTTTGTCCCTCCCAAATTGACCTCAAATATTTCTCTGCAAGGTCGAAGGAAAATGGAAAAGCCTCCCCATTGTCTTTTTGTTCACAAATCCTGTCTTAAGGGTATGTCTGTGTATGAATAGGGTGAGCCTGTGACCTGGCTCAGGAACTAAGTATTTGTCATTACAAAAGACTGGCCAGGCTCCCCAGGGTATCCAAACAAGTGACCATTAACAGGTCTGCCAGACAGGAGATAAACAATGCACTCAAATTTATGTTGTAGACAGCCCTTTCTGTGATGTACCATAGTTATGATGTATGGGTGTGTGTGGTCTTGAGCTACACTCCTTTCTGTGATGTAGGTATGATGTATCTGAGGGGTGGTCTTGAGTTACACCCCTTCTTGTGATGTATGTATGATGTTTCTGGGGGTGGTCTTGGACTCAAGGGCGGGCAATTTAAAATATAAAGGGCAGGCACACCTTTGTTCTGGGTCCTCCTCCTTTCCTGTGTGTGAGGAGAGCACCCTGTTGCAACAGTACAATAAAGAACAGGCTTACGAGCTGCTTTGCTTCTCAATATTCTCTGGTTAGCCTGTTATTTTCTCCGACCGATGGAGAACCTAGAAAGGACTCTATTGAGGGCTCTTGTGTTCCCCATAAGGGAATAAGGGCAGATTTTTGTTTGTTACACTATTCATTGAGCAGGTGCATGGAGGGCACTGCTTCTCAGAAACACCAGTGGATCACTCAAACTAGCCATTTTGAGAGCAATTGTAAGAATTTGAGGGTGTGTTTGGTTTTTTAAAATCTAGTTGAGTCTGAAGATAACCTACTCCTGATCATGGGCGTAGCCAGGATTTTTGTTAGTAAGGGCAGGACTTTTGTTAGGTGGGGGCGGAACCTACCTGATTGGTTGGTTAGTTAAGTATTTCTATTGTTTTACTTATTCTAGAGGGGACAGCTGCCCTTCCCTCTTGCACCTTGGCTATGCCCATCCACCCGATCTCAACCTGCATAAAATGTGAGACCAACAGATCCGTTTCTTCCGAGTTTACCATGATGTGTCCATATAGAAAACGCCCTATATTTTGGAGGGAAATGTGCATGGAGATCTGCCAGTAGCCATGGTGGCCAGATAGTGTGCCATGTACAAGGGACCACAGCTACTCCCCCGCCTCCCAACTGTTCACATCAGCACTGACTTCAAATAGTTTCCATTTGTTTATACAGTAGTATCCCTGGTTACGAACTTAATTCGTTCCGGAGGTCTGTTCTTAACCCGAAACCGTTCTTAACCTGAGGCGCGCTTTCGCTAATGGGGCCTCCTGCTGCTGCCACACCACCGGTGCGCAATTTCTGTTCTCATCCTGGGGCAAAGTTCTCAACCCGAGTTACTACTTCCGGGTTAGCGGAGTTCGTAACCCAAAATGTTTGTAACCCGAAGCATTTGTAACCCGAGGTACCACTGTTCACCTGTGGGCATGTGACAAAGCATAACACCCTATGCAAAGGTGTTAACACTTTGCTAGAAATGAGTTAGAAATGGCTTAAGGACTCCAACTGGTGCGAAACTAGTTTGAGAAACAGCATTCAAACAGTAGTGTTTAGTAACAAAGTATAGGATACATAGGCATTTTAGAAAATGTCATGTGAACGTGGATGTTCACATGACATTGTGAAAGTGTCATGTGAAACCAGTACAGTGGTACCTCTGGATACGAACGGGATCCGTTCCGGAGTCCTGTTCGCATCCTGAAGCGAACACAACCCGCGTCTGTGCAGGTCGCGATTCGCCACTTCTGCGCATGACGTCCTTATGACCGTCTGCGCAAGCGCAAGTGGCAAAACCCAGAAGTAACGCATTCCGTTACTTCCGGGTCGCCGCGGAGCGCAACCCAAAAGCGTTCAACCTGAAGCAACTTCAACCCGAGGTATGACTCTACTAGAAAGATAGTGAGTGTGCAGTAAATGGTAGTGTGAACACAGCCTTCCTTGGTTTCAGCTGCCAGTCTGGTTAACTTTTGTACATAGATTAGGGGAGTCACCATCCTTTCCTTCATCTCAGGAAACAAAATGTCTTGAGCCATCCCAGCCAACTCCATTACTTTAATTGCTTCTCTGCTATTATGTTTGTGTCTCCCCCACCCCCACTATGTACCAATATATCTTCCTCTCTTATTGGCAGTTATTGTCATTCGGAAAACAGAAAAAAATTACTTTATAGTGGACATATTTTAAATAAACCCAGCATAATAACTAAATTTAAAAACCTTTATTTTGTTTTTTTTAAAAGGTGGCTCCTTGGGGCAGTCATTATCACCTTATGAAATCTACAGAACACAATAAAGAATGCAAATACATTTATATTTACACAGTGCCACACAAAATGTAAGTGGTATGGTTACACTGTATGTTACATATACAGAGACAAAATTGTCATTCAGTGAAAATGGATTGTTCAGAAGACTTTTAAGTAGACTTTCCCCACAGTGCCTAATTGGCATTACTTACAAAAACAAGAGGAAGGAAAAGTCTGAGGAACAACTTAATTCACTAAACATATGCAATAAATTAAAATCTTACATGACAGCTCAACCAGTCACCATGCAAACAGTATGTACAGTGTTTTAATTCATACTGAGAACAAAGATTCTAAACCTAGATTTGTACGATAACTCAAGACATGAAAGGTTCCATGAGTATTTCAGGAACCTGAAAGGTTCTGCCTGAAATCTATAATCATTTTTAATGCAGAATTAGCTTACATGTAAACATGCTATCTGCTTAGTTCTACTTTGCACATCCTTATTCTATAGTCACATCGTTTCATTTATAACCAAACCAGGCAGACACTGACACAGTGCAATATATAACTCTTAGCATTAAATTCTTTCTAAGAAGCTAAACAGTCTTATAAAATACATTGATGATTTATATTTAGAACATAAAGTATGGATTTTTAAAATTATATATAAATATATTCAGTAGTGAAGTAGCAAGACCTAGTATAATTGAGAATTTGACAAAGTAAAAGCACCTTTGTGTTCCATGAAGAAGACACTATACAAGGCCAAAATAATGATGGTGATGATAAGGTAAATGAGAATTCATGATTCTGTTGCGGGGGAAAATTGTAGCAGTTAAATCTTTTGACTCAGATCTGCATCACACATTACAGTTTTACACATACACATAAACAGGATATGAGTGCAAACACATGCATGTTTGCAGACACAAGTCTTATAAAGATAACAAGAAGTCACAAAGTGAATACGAAAGGCAGTTCCAAGGGAGTATACTCTTAATTCACTTTGGTTCCTTGGATGTTTCTGTAAACCTCTGACTAGTACACCCACAAAGAAGCTGAGTTTGGCTAAAACAAAGCTTTGTTATGAAGGAATCCTAAAATGTGGGACCTGACATTCTAAGAGAGATCATTGTTTTGATGTGTACAAATTTGATTAGAACCAACTAGTTTTGTGCCAGTTATGGTTACTGCAATACCACCAAAAAAATTACTAATATAGTAGATTAATTATTTGATGATGGTACGGTCATTCCTATTTTAATATTTTGGAAAAGTAACTTCCAGGTTTGTTTGTTTGTTTGAGTGAAAATCTGATTAACAAATCAGCATAGATTGTGTTTGTAAGAGGAATGGTTTGCTATTGACATCATTAGAACTTTCTTCAAAATAAATATACTTAGGATCAGGTGTAAATTCAAGCACTCCATTAAAAATCAAGTGATTCCCATTTCAGTCAATTGAAACAAAACGATTTATATACTATTATTTTGGCTTAAGGAGGATTATCAATTTCACTGAAAGGTCTGCACACAGCAGAATTTCAAATTCTGCATTGCATCCCTCTAACAACTTGAATGTTACGACCACCTTATTCATCTGTGCCTTTCGTTAACATGTTCTGCAGTTGCAGAAGTTGCTCATGAAAAACTGCAGAGGGTTTTTTGGGGTGGGAGGGGAATGAAGGGGGCAACTGTGCTCAATGGTCTGCTATGGTCCTTGTGCTCGTCAAAGCCTCCTTACCAATTTCCAATAATACTTGGGGGGACTTCCACTGGCATCAGTATAACTGCCCAGCAAAATCAGTGCTACGGCAAAAGGCCTGGGAAAGTTTAAAGTAACTGAAGATTCTATTTTTAAAAAAACAACAGCCAAAGGGCAATAGGTATTTCTCCTTTTTAAGATATTAATGCCTTAAAAATGTTCTGCTCTCTCCCTCTTCAGATTGCAATGCACCTTCCCCTTAGCCAAGCCAGTATTGGCTACAATGGCTCCCAACGTCTGCTTATAATCTGTATCTGGGCATGAATTCTATTGGATTCCCACCTCTCACTTTTTTCCATCATCCAAGTTGTTGTCTAGAAGAAAGCTGGTAATGGATTTCTTCAGGTACCCAGCAATTGTCTTGCATGTCTATCTATACCCCTTTCCTACAGTGGCTTACCTCAGACTCAGGAGTCCTCTGTTCCTACATTTGGAACGATCACATTGGTTTCAATTAGGCATGTCCTTATTGCAATAAATTAAAACCAGGTCTGCAAGTGCTTTTTAATTTTACAATGGGACTTTAGGGTTCTGTGAACTGTGCTGGCAAGTTGTGACCTAATATTTTTAGGCAGCTACATTTAATCCCTGGACCAAGTCTGTGCAATCTCAGTTAAGTGCTGTGACATTGTACAAACTTGGCAAGATCATTATTATACACCGAGTTAATTAACAGTGATGGTTTTGTTCCTTACAAACCTGAATGTACATCCTGCTGCTGCTGTTCAGCACTGCTAAACTCTTCTACTTTATCATTTAGATGCTAGCTAATTACAGCATCAATATAAATACAGCAAGCTACATCTGACACAGAAATAATGACAGTGTATTTGGATAAATGTTGAAGATTAATTTTTCTGGGCCACATAATAGATTTTTGGAATATAATTCTGTTCTGCAGTTTGGAAGGTGTTTTGGTGGCATCAAAATCTAAAATAATGTGAGCTGTTAAATGTTGGATTTATCTTAGCTATTTGGTATGGAACTGAGATAGGACCAGGAACAGAAAATGCAGAGATGTCAGCTAGTCTAAAGAAAGTTTCAAGTAAACAAAGACACTGTTTGGACATAACATGTGCTACTCACTTGGATAGCCTTTGGAATTATCCCCATTCCTATGTAAATAGGGAAAATTCCCACTAGAGTGTGTCTTCTGTGTAGAGTCAAGCATTGCACAAGCTCCATTAATTTCAACAGTTCTTACATAAGCTCCACTGAGATGAATGGTGGTTTATATCACTACTTAGAAGACTGCACCATAAATTAGTAAGAAACAGGAAACAGTATAAAGTTTGATCTTTTTTGTTTCTTCTTCAAAATAGTAAAGCTACTAACAAGTGAATCCCACATTTTGTAAAACGTAAAGTATCCCAATATTTTACATATCATCTCAATAGGCCAGCCTGCAGTACTATACATGTAAAATAGGAGAGTGTAAACAAGATATTACTCATTTGCAGCAATGGGTGATACATTAAGAAAAAATGACTGTTGCACCTGAGGGGGGTAAAAAAGAGAAAAGGATACTAAACTAGAGTCAGAATTAAATAGTATATAAGAGAATCCTTAGTAGTTTGCAGGTAGGGAGAAACAGTTTTTAAAATTGCCTGATGCAAACAGATGTATAACAGAGAAAACTTTCTGAGTCTGGAGCATAGTGTCTAGTTCACGGTCTGGAACATCCCTATTGTCAATACTTTACAGTTCTATTCATATGAATAAAGATGGGAAAGCACTGTTGAACCAAAGGAAAAGCAAGATGTTCCACAGCTGCGTCACAAGGGCTGGTAATCAAAACAAGGGAAATCCTCCTGAACAGAAGGGAAGTAATCTCAGGACAAAGTCCCAAGAAAAATAAATGCCATTACCCAGAAGAAACGCATGGGGCCAGAGCTGGGGAGGGTCGGGAAATTACTCAGTTGGCACATTAGCTTTAAAACAACAGCACATATGCTACTGCAAAAACTTGCTGTTGTTCAGGCAAGGTACTTTGGGAACAAATTTAGCTACGGTTAAAATACATAAGCAAGATGCAACAACTCATGATTAAGAGGACATAGGAGATAAACTCCTACAGTGGAATTTCACATAACGCTAAAGAGATCATTTTGTCAGGCAAGGAACGATCTTCTCTCTGCAGGCTGTTTGGGGTCTCACGGCTTTCCAGAGCAGATTTGAGGGAGGAGAGGGGAAGCCCTGTTATGCTAGTGTGATCCCTTGCACTGGCTTCCACTTGTGGAACCAGAGGTGAATTTAGGGCAGCATGGCAGCACTGGGCACTGAGCCTAGGCTGCTCAGCATCACAACTATGACGTATCGAACTGAGCAGAACGGAAGTTGAGAGATGGGGGAGGTGCCAACTTTTTGCCTCGCACAGGGTGCTACTGAAATTTGAAAGTCCGCTCGTGAATTTGAGTTGTTGAGATTTGGGGATGGGGTGGGGCAAAGTTCGCCAAAATCTACACTTCTGACATGGACTGCCATACATCCAGATTTCCTCAGACACTTCAGTGATTTCTGCCCAGAGGGCCAAATGGCAGCTATATCCGGGAAATTCCGGGTGTATGGTAACCCTATCAGAGTCACTGAACCTGGCCTTTAACGTATCTGGTAAAGAAAATAGCCAAATGTGTCCAAAGGAGGTTTGGGGAAAAGAACCTAAAAGGAACAAACTATTATCCTGACATTTTTAGAGGATATGATGTAGATTAAGGCACCCAGTTTAGTCTCCCCCCCCCAAAAAAATAGGGGTACTTTGGGATCTTTTGCAAAGAATTCAGTTTATTTGGGTATTCTGTCTCATACTTGAATTGTATGAGGGGGAGAAGCGGAGCAAGCCTGTTGGCCCTATTCCATAAATTGCACTTCCAACACTGTTTCCATGTATTGGGAAGGCAAACATCTGAAGGAGGGACATCTTCTATTGGGTGAAGCTCCTTGTGGGAACCATCAACATCCCATACAGGGAGTTTACATGTGCAAGACCAGACTCTTCACTTGAGAAGTTCTTCCCTCTGTGGCATGGAGGTCAATGCCTCTACAGGCTCTGACATTGGAGGGGGACAGACCCAGTACACTCACCCACACTCTTCCTCCCTCAAATTAGAGATTTTAATGCAACAATAAGGGAACATCGGGGAATAAATAGGAAAATGGAGGACATTTTTTATAATATATGTCTGTTGTCTCCATTGTCTTCTTGATTACTGATATAGTTAGCAATGCTGTTTATATAGACAGATGTCTTAGCCTTTATCGTCAGCAAGTTCAGTTCCACATTTGTTTGTTTTTAAAAAAACATGAAAACAAAACATTGCACATATTGATTTTTTTAACCATTTTTAAAGTGCAAACTTTACCAGTATTTACATTGTTAGCAAATTAGCTCCTGAAATTATGCCAAGCCTCAAGGGGGCTTTCCAAACATTGGGCTTTTCTCAGGAGAACTGCACAGCCTTTACTAAGCCTTCACTGTTCAGCAAAATACAATTCTCGCAAGTGCTGCCACTATTGCTTTCCTAGCACTAAAACTGCTAAGTAAACACTAGCCCTGATCCTACCATGACAGGCAGGATTCTTACTATAGCAGGCTGGCAACAGCACAGTGCTAGTCTTCTACACAATTACATTCATAGGCAGATGCCTGCATCTGGAAGTGCCCTTCGAGCACAGTTTCTCCTGTGTGAGGTAGAGATGAGGGAGAAATCTGGTTTGGTTCACATCTTAATGGACTCATCCATGCCATTGTTTAATGTCAATAGTAACCTACCTGTACCTCCATTAATTCTCCATTGTCCACATGGCATTCTCTTCCAAGTCACAGTCTATCCTCCTCCAGATTTTCTCACACCCTCTCCTTTTGGAGCATCCCTGGTATGAAAGAATCCAAACTGAGGGAGGTCAGTGATTCGGAGGAGAACATCATATGGACAATGGAAAATTAATGAAAGTACAGGAAAACTTACTGTTCCCATTAAACTACAGTATGGAAGAGCCCAATGTGAACATACCTTATTCACACTTCCTGAAACAATGTACGTGAATTTAAATACAGGTAGCTTTCAAAATTCACAGTTCTGTTAATTTTCATGATGCAGTTCTCCAACCCAAACATGTGTACAAAAATGCATATATTAGGGGGAAATGTGCATTACTGTAAAATGCATAACCAAAACATAAAATAGCAAATGGATGCAGAAATGTGGTAAACTAAACTTAAAATTATAAAAATGTGAAACTCACGAGAAACTGAAACTTAACAGTTTCATCATTCTCTAGTGTGAACCCCATTAAAATTAATGGAACATGTGCAACAGGGAAATTCATTAGAATTCAAGCAAATTACTGTTACAACATTCTTCTGCAACCAGTGCTGATAATTAAATTGGCAGATGCCTTTTCATCGTTTTTTAAACAAACAAAAAAAGCACCATTAATGTATTTCTCACCTTTTCACTTCCTAACCATATTTATTCACATATCTTATACAAGTATTTTCATACATGAAGTTTTATTTCAATACAAACTTCACAGTGATTGCGGTATTATTTTAGGCTAAAGACATTGATTTGAAAATACTGCCCTGCTATAGCTAGATGTTGGGAGAGCATCACAAATTATCACCAGAGAAATACATCAGACAATATATTTTAGTGGTTAAAAGTAAAAAAAAAAAACAACCAAGGACAGGAAAAATGAAAACAAAAGCTGAAAAGATTATACTGTTTGGACTGCATGCTATTGTTCTTATTTGCTCATGGCAACATCAGTCACTAGACAGCTGCAGGTTTCTAAAGCGATGTGATGAGCGACTCCTATCACTGCATTTCAGCCAAAAAGTAGTTCCCATTAGACAACATAGATTTATCAAAAAGAGATAAATACCCATGTTTGGACCACATGATTGGCAGATCCTCATTTATTCAACAGTTGGGACAGCTATGTATATATATTTAAGATCATGAAACAGAAGTGGAATGGAATATAATATTTAATATAAACTAAACTGTAAGGCAAAAACAATTTTGGGGCAAGGTTTAAGTAAGAATCCTCTTTGACTTATTGGGCCAATGTCAGCAGCAGGCAAGCGAGATAATAAACTCCATCACAGTTTCTACCTTATAAATATCTGTCTTCAGGAGATGCCAAAAATGTGCACTTCTCCAAGGTGTGTAAATCTCAGCTTACTGTTTGCATATGCTTCATAAGGGAACAAACAGTAGCTACTATGTAAAGTGGAATGATGCAGGTGACTGTTCATGAATATGCAACCTCCCAACTAGGATTGCTGTTTCTTATTTATACTATTCTTCTCCTAAACCCCAGTCTAGTTTAGATCATGTATTCAAGACTTGACTGTTCAGGATTTCTGCAGCGTAGAAAAAGTAGATTAGATTAAGGCAGAAAGATTTACACAAGTAATTAGTCTATAACAGATTCACCTCATTTCGTATAAGGTGACTGATGAGGTGAAATACACTGCCAGGAGTTATCACCATCACATTTTAATACCCAATAGAAAAGTCTTCATTTAGTCTGCACAGGTAAACTGCAAAATTAAAGATTTGGTAGTTTGTTTAGAAGTATTTCTTCTTTTAAAAACAAAAATGCTCTGGGCATTGTGGATTCATCTTGGTATGATCATCTTTTCTATGGCACAGACAATGTGATCCCAGTTTTTGCATAAAATTGCAAGAAGAGTTACTGCGAAGAAGGTGCAAATGATATGGAAACGGCTTCTCATCATAGGAGCTATAAACTTGGCTATGGTGGAGACGCACACTAGGATTACGGTCATGAAGGCCAAGACTACGTTTATACATTTCCCCAGCAAGACTTTGGCATTAACGGTTTCTGACTGCAGGGCTTGCTGTTCTTGCTGATGAATCTCCAGCTTAGAGACCCGTGTTTGGCAAGATTCCAAAGCTTCCTGTCAGTATAAAATAGGAAGGGGAAGGGGGAAAAGAAAAGTTAAGGAACCATCACTTTCATACATAAAATACATTTTCATTCTATCTGGTCGGTTAAGGACGTTACCCCCATCTGTGCATAAATCAATTAGCAAAACAATTTACAACTCTTTGATTGCGAACTCTACAATTCTATAATTCTATGCATCTCAAGGTTGAAAATGTATTAACACAAAAACATTAGAACAGGCAGCTGGATTAGGCCAATGGCCCATCTTGTCCAGCATCCTGTTCTCACGGTGGACAACCAGATTTGAACCCAAGAGCACTCTTCCCCTGCCTGTCTCCAGCCATACATAAATGTACAGTACACAGAATCACAGAATTATAGATGTATTTTTCCTCCTTGAAGGAGAACTGTGCAATGGCCAGTGTTCATGTTCAGTCTCATATCCTCTGATTACACGGACTGATTAAAAGCTTGGTGAACGATTCTTTCAATAGCACTTTTCTATACTTATTTTGTTCATTCCCACAACAGCCTAGTGAGGGAGGTTATAATTTTTCCCATGGAGAACTGCAGTTGTTCCCATCTTGCAAGAGCAATGTCATTTCCACACTATAGTTCCATCAGAGATAAATGTGAAAAATTAGTGGTTAGATGTGAAAGCTCTGGCTATGAGTTTATGGCTGCAATCCTAAACGTGAAAGGGAATAAGCTTTATTGAATGCAGTGGGGACTTAGTCATCTGAATAAAGCTGCGTTGGATTCACAGTATTTCTTTGAGAGGGAGATGCAAAAGTTCTTTTTAAAGACATAAAGAATAGGAAACATGAGTGACTTCTTTCTCCATCTCCAAAGGCCCAAATCTAGTCTTAAATTGGAACTCAGATCTTTCAGTCTAAAAAATCCTGTGCTTTCATCACTGGACCACAGTGGCTAATTCTTTGGAAACAAAAAAATAATCTGTTACTTAATTTCAAAAGTTGGTACCTGAACATCTCGCGACCGTTCATAGGCCTGATACGCCACCTTTTCTTCAATACTAGCAAGTTCTTGCTTCAAGTTGGCTGTCTCATGCTGGTGGAGGTCTGTTAGATCATTCAGCTGGTCTTCTAATCGCTCATACCTTAACAAAAACAAAATTTACTTGGCTTTTACGTGAAATCTAATGAAAGTGCATCCCTCCTTATTTGTAGGTTGCATCATCACCATTCTTTATCAGGGTAACTTTTTGTTTCCCTGCGCTGAAACCCTACTGGCATTAGAAAAGTATACTACCTTGAATACAAGCTGAACATTGTAAACCTTTTAAAAAGTTTTTATTATTATTATTATTATTATTATTATTATTATTATTATTATTATTACTACTACTGCCACTCTCACTAAGTTGTAAGTTTTTGCATGTGATTATAGAAACTAACATGACAAGAGTTTTTTTACCCCATGACTGCTCACCTGATAATCCTGCTGAGAACTCTGAGAATACACTTCACACATTACCCTAACAGCAAATGTGGTAGCCTCTTCAAGTGTTAACCTGTGCCTATGTAGTACATGCAGCTGATCATTGTCATGGGTGGAGTTCAAGGGTACTTAGTTCATTCTTCTCTTTGTTGCATTGCTTTGACACCACCTCACTCTCAGCTACCTGTGCAAATCAATTTCAACTGGCCAACATAATAACGTACCTGTACCTTTCCTCCTGCAGCGTTTGAGAAATAAAGCCATACTCTCTTTTGAATTGTACTTTTAAATTCTCAATGTCATCTGCCAACTGGGATTGTGCTTCCTTTATTTCCCGCAGTCCCTCAAAGAGAATCGATAGTTTCCCATGGCTTTCCAGAGCATTTGTTCCACCATGGCCAAAGGACTGGTTTCCATTGCTGTCCGCAGAGCCAGATGTTGCACTTGAGCACTCATCATCACTGGTGTATTTTGGCTTGGCCACTATAGTAGCACTTCCGCCGTAGGCCCTGGAAGTAGTTTCTGGCCTAAAATCATCCAGGCTGCTCTTTAAGTGAGCAATATTGTCAGCACTACCAAATTTATTCCGGATCAGGTTTGCAAACTCTCTGGACTTGCTGAAAACAAACACTGGTGGTGTCAAGGAGACTCCTGGAACACCTGTTTTGCTGCTCTCATTGCCCTGGCCAGTAGTACGAGATTTCCCATGGGCATCTTTCAGGGAATGTTGGATTTCCTTCAGGCTGTCTTTGGAAGTATCCTTGGTACTTTTGGAGGAACCATTTTGTTCTATCTCTTTGAGCTTTCTGTGATATTGTTCCAATTTCTTCTGCAACTGGGCTATGGAATGGGCAGACTTTTGATTCTTCTTTTCAAATACTTGTTTAATTCGACCCGCTTGTTGTTTGTCCGCACTGTTCACGAGCTTCAAATACTCTGCCACGTTCCCATCCCGAGCTGTTTGTTCTATTTTGATCTGCTCCGTAACTTTCAGAATCTTTTGCTTCAAACTGTCCGCACTGAGTTTTACTTTGTGAAACTCAAACACACCATCAGGTACATCGAAGTTGAGGTTGGTGTCCGAACCTCCCCGGCGAATATTAAGAGGCAGGCTGAGGGTATTCATATCATGTCTTTCCACCTATAAGAGATTAAAATTCAACCTTAGTTTTCTATGAAATAATTCATAAATAATTCTAAGAAGAAATTAATATAAGATCACAAAGCATGACATTATTTGTGATGTGGGAACATTATTGCAATGCAAGAACTTGGGCCAATGGGGAAATAAGTGTTCTGCTCATTCAGCCATGCAGAACACTAGTATAAACATCCAGTTAGCACCACACAATCCCCTAAAATAGTAAATACTAGGAATCTAATGCTGTAGTCCTATACACACTTGCCTGGGAGTAAGCACAACTGAATATAACATAATTCCTTCTGAGTAGACTATGCTACTCAGACCAAAACAGTGCCATATTACTCAAAACTGGCATCAAATGATAAAGTTAATACCATACTTAGCACAAAATGTCTTCCAGATTAAAAAAATCCATAAGGTTTTTTGTTTGATACACAAATAAATTATCCTCCATTTTCCTAACTACACTCTCTATATTAATTTTGCTGAGCTATTGTTCCTGATTTTCATACTAAGCAAATACTTCAGTTCTTTTTATCAACTTAGTAGCCAATGTGACACATTGCTTTCTTATTTGACCTCTGTAGCTCAACTGTTACCCCTAGCAATTTGATCCAATACTACATTATTTCCCTCCCCTGCAAATGAGCAGAGCTAGTTCCTCACAGCTCATGAATATTATGTACATCTGACAAATACATAGTAAGTATGCTTCTTGAGACAGCACACATGCTATACCTTTAAAGCACACTTTAAGCAAATACTCTCAATCAAAGAATGTTGGGCACTGCAATTCACCCCTCAATGAGTTACAATTCTCAGCAATGACAGTGCCTAAAATTCTTTGAGGAAAGAATAATGTGCTTTGAATGTGCTTTATAGTGTTTACACAGCCTGAGAGCAAGTAATATACCTTCAATTGTACCCTAAGTCTGAAAAGCTATCCAGTCATGAAGTGGAAAAGTGCTAAGATGATAAGAGAACCTGGTTTGTGGTGCAATGTACAAGGCAGCAGTACTGTATCTTAAGTTATAACCTACTGGATACTTTGCACATTGGACCTGATAAGCATAGTCACACAATGCAATAAAGGAGGTAATCATTATTATTATTATTATCCTTATCCTGATTCTTAACTGCAGCAAAACATAATTTTAATTGTTCAAGACTGCCTAGAAACAACAACAACAACAAATCCCATAGAAATGAAAATGTTCCCTTATACAACACTTCTTATGTAGTGTTTGTGCACATGCATGACGAGGCTGTGGTCAACATTATTCTAACTAGGATGTAATATGCAGTGCAGATGACATGTAACATGCTCATCACAAAAGATATGTGCACCATCAGCCTTAGCATTCAAATTATGGTAGGTGTTTTTAATTAAACATGAATGAATTTTTACCACACATAATAGCCAGACTAAATCAGAAGTCTCCGCTGATGAAGAAGAGTTTGGATTTGATATCCCGCTTTATCACTACCCTAAGGAGTCTCAAAGCGGCCAACAATCTCCTTTCCCTTCCACCCCCACAACAACCACTCTGTGAGGTGAGTGAGGCTGAGAGACTTCAGAGAAGTCTGACTGGCCCAAGGTCACCCAGAGGCTGCATGTGGAGGAGCGGGGAATCGAACCCGGTTCACCAGATTACGAGTCCACTGCTCTTAACCACTACACCACAGTGGCTCTACTGATGAGAGAGAGCAAAGGGGCTGACTATATACATACACACACAACATAATTCCAAAGCCCAGCAGCTCGCTTACTCAGCTTTGGGAAGGCAGCATGAGGGCTGTGTGTGTGTGTGCACGTGCGCATGCACACGCACCAAAAAGGGCCTTGAGGGGCCATGTATTGGACCACCCTGGCCTAGAGGCATACTTAAATGACAGTGAGGCTGAATTCTTTGGTAACAGATTTTAAGAAGAAACTATTTTCTTAAAGATTGGCCATGTTCCAAACAGGAAGGAATACTATCACTGATGGTATTTTAGTAAAGATTTATTAGTTTATTTCAAATATTTATATTCTACTTCCTGGCCTTCATTCTCAAGACAGCTTGCAACAAAATTTAACAATCCATGCAAAATAAAATGAAGGCAGTAGCCGAACATGTCATTGCTCGCTCAGTTCACAGTATAGGACAGTTTTGATGAATGAGATTAATGGTCTGCCATGCTAATGAAATGACAAATGCATCGGCTGAACAAAATTCAATCCAAATTAAGCAGAAGCATTTCAAAATTATCTCAGATCTAACACTGAACTGACAAGAATTATGAATTATAAGATGCTCCTATATGTGGGCATAATAATTATATTTATAAAAGCAGCATCTATTCCATAATAATGATCTAATATCCAATTTGGTTTGCTTTTTGAAAGCGGTAAAAAAGTAATCTCAACTCTGAATTCATCTGCATGTTCATCCGTCACACTTTATAACTGTTACTCAATAGGCGTACAACACACTGCAAATGTATAATCGATAGTCTGGCGTATTGCCACAGGGATTTTAAGAATTATGGGAGTTAGACCACAGAGTGATTACAGTGACATGCAATACGCCACACAGCAATTCAGCACCAAAAGCAGAAATGTCCTCAGACCTTCATGATTTTAACTCTTGTACGTTAACACTGAGCCACTCATTTCCTAAAGCAATTCAGCCCTCTCGACTCATAGCAAACTCAGACTAACATTGTCGGTTTACTAACATGTTTATACAAAATCTAATCAGCAATGTTACCCAGGACAAAATGTACATACTTCCAAGGCCGGGTGGATCTGCTCACAATCCTACATAAATGTTTATTTCCTTTAGTACAAAAGTATTCTAAAAATATTTTGCATATACCAAGACATGAGCCTGAACAGCTGCTGTTCTGACCCTCTTCCTCCCTACTTTAAACGATGGAATCTCTCTTCCTCACAGAGGTAAATTGCTCCCCAAGCTCTATGGTTTCCTATGACATGCCATAAAACTGGACAAAAGGCAAGGGAAGGAACAGGGGAGAGTTCATCTAAGGCTGTGAACTTACCCCATTAACTCTGCTTGCAGTGCACTACCACTGCTGGTCTGAGAAGCAGTGCACACATAACATTAGTTGTAATTCGTATCTACATGTAATTCAAATCATATCTGTCATTTTAAAAAATTAAATACTGTGTTTTGATGCATTATTCCCCACACCAGCTTCAATCCAAACTGAGAAAAAGAACAACCAATTGTACGTTAAGCTGGTACTGTGTAAATAGTGTTAGCTAGAGGGAAACAACATACATACAGAATCACATCACCTACTAACGTCATGGGGTGTATGGGGTGTTAGAGCAGGGGTAGTACCTCTGGTGGGGGGGACACAATGTGCTTTTTCTGGTGTAGTTTGCCCATCTTTGGTCCCCACTCTGCACTCAGCTCTCACCTGTGGCTCCTAGAAACTATTGGCATGTGACAGTGGCCACATCCTGGGAATGGCTTCGACTGGCCTTAAACCATCAGTGACTTTCCCTGCATGCAAAGAAAGGCTCTGGTGGGTAGAGCAGACGAGAAAATGGAAAATGGAAGCTAAATTGTTAGGCTGGGATGCGCCAGATTCAGCACACCTTGCCTGTGCTAAAAGATCTATAGAGGCTAGCAGTCTGTTTTCAGGCACAACTGAAAGGGCTGACCTTTAAAGCCCCAAATGGCTTGTTAGCAGGATTTTTAAAGGACTGCCTTCTTCAACAGAAATCTTCCCGAAAGATCTGCTTCTGAGACTGGTCTACAGGTAACCCAATATTCAGGAGATGTGGTGAATGGCAACTGGGGAATTAGCTTCTTCGGTGGTAGCCTCTCACCTTTGAAATAGCTTTCCTGGGCAGATCTGTGAAGTGCCTATATCAACATAAGGTGAAACCTACTACATTTTAAAAACATGTTACTGAATTTAAAGTTTTGGTGAACTGCTGTTTTTAAAATTGCTGGCTGCTTGTTGTTTCATATATATTTTTTGTTGTTTCATTGTCAGTTGCTTTAAAATGCTTAACATAATAATTTGTTTTTGAGGTGCTGGTCAGAAAGCAACTCACCAGAGCACAATGATAACTATTTCCCATTACAATATTCATTGTAGGTATGTGAACATGAATAAGTAAAAGGTGTGCCACACTTATCTGGGGTGGACCCAGAGCTAAGTTAGGTGAACTTAGTACACACTGAAAACAATAGGAGTCAGGTTCAACTACTTTGTCAAAATCTGACCATTATCCTTTCCTCTCCTCCAAATTCCAGCAGCTAGTTATTTTTAATATCTTGTTAATATTTCAGCGATTCCCATTTGTACCTGGATAGCTAGCTAACATGCTCGCCTTTTGTTTCAACACAAGAGCATCTCTGTGTGCTTTTAGCTTATTTTCTCCTTTTTGTATGCTACTCTCCAGGATAGAAAGATGTGCTAAGAAGGAATGCACAGCAGCTAATTTTGGTAACATACCTCTAGATAAAAGCTGAAATGGTTGTGGTCTATCATTTACACACATATACTTCTCCACATATATCCCACTGTGTGGAAGGAAAGCACTATGCGGAGAGAAAATAAACTTAACATTGTCATGTGGAACTTCCCCAAATGCCATTGCTCAGCTGTAGCTTCCTTAACACATAATCACTCTTAGTTTGAAAGAATATATGTCTACAGCAGTTCACTACTCTATAAATTATTCCATCACGCAGACAGTACACAAGTGAGTCATTTGCTTATTGTTATCCAACCCTTCCCATTTTCCTGTATACTGAAAGTAAGAAACTCTTCATATGCAGATTTTGACTGCAGAAGAGGCTGTAAATGTATATTGTAAAAGAGAAGTGATGAAACAGCAAAACTGAATACTGAACTTATTAAAATCTGCCCAGCATGTGCTATCCTGAAAAGAGTTATCAGCAGAAGGACTAGTGTTCTCAGTGTTCCATACGCCTTAACATTTTCCCCCCAAGTATTCTACAGTGAAGACC